TTTTTTTTTTTTTTTTTAAATATATTTGATACAGGGTCTCACTGTGCAGCTTGGGCTCATAGTGATCCTCCTGTTTTCAGCCTCCCTAGCTTTGGGATTCCAGAGGTGCCTCCAGAGGTGCCAGCTCAGCAGGCCCAGGGGCGGGCCCAGTGTGGCATGTAGTGCAGGGGATCTAACCTTGGTCTCTGTGCTTGCCTAAGCAGGCACTTACCTGCTGATCTATCTCGCTAGCCCTTCCAGTTCTTATATATATTACAAAACAGCCTTAAAGAAAGAAGTGCCATCTTTTCTACAGCACTTAAGATACTAAATACAGACCTGAAAAGCAGTCTAACAGAAATAAAGGCAAGTCTTCACAGCAATATGATTTCAGCAGCCAGAGCTGGATGATGGGCTGAAACATTACTACACAGCTAGGGTAAAATAAACGCCAGATCATGATACTAAGCAAAGATACTAGATTTCATTTTTTTTAAAGATTTTTTATATTTGTCCTTTTTTGGGAAACAGGGTCTAACTATGTAGGACAGGCTGTCCTTGGACTCACTGTGTAGCTCAACCTGGCACCAACTCTGTGACCCACTTCCCTCAACCTCCTGAGTGCTAGGACTTCAGATGTACACACCACAATTTCCCCTTTTTGTAAGAACTAAGTCGGGTTGAATTTGGGCTCACTCTTCTTAATCTTCTGCAAAAGTCCTATGCACGGGAAGTTAGGGTTCCAACATGCTTTGGAGGTACAGTTCAACCTATAACATACACCATTTTGTGATTTGCTCTGGCTTGTTCTTAATTTATTCAAATAATGCTTTGGCAACATTCTAGCATATCAGTGTAAGTAAAGACATTTTATTTTTTACTTGCTGGATAATGGTTTGTGGTATGAATTATAATTTATCGCTTCCCTATTGATGTATTTAGATTCTTTCCTGTTTCTCACTGTTCAGTTTCTGGTGTGCACCCTGCACATGGGTGCTGGTTGCTGTGGGATAAATCTGGTCAACGCATTGCAGTGGACAGGCACACCCCCCACCCCTTACTCTGTGAGAAAGGCTGTCTAATTGTCTTCTGAAAAGACCTGTGAACAACCTGATGCCCAAGGTCTCGGTTTTATTTTCTTTTGGGGGCAGAGGAATTTGGAAATTTTGCCCTTGAAATCCATTTGGTGCCTCAGACACTGGCAGCGAGGCCGTGAGAACTGTGTGGCTCACTCCTGGTGGGAGGTGCTCAAACTGCCTGCTCGCAGGCTGCAGGTAGTCGCCCCAGCGTAGAAGTTAGTGCTGTCCTTTTCGTAGTCATCCTAGAGAAGAGAAAATAAATTCTGAAAATGATTTAAAATATAAAGCCTAAGTATCTATAGCTTATAAGTAAGCTATAAGTAAGCTTATAAATATGAAAAGCTATACATAAGCTTATAAATATGAGTAGCAGCATGCTCGAGAAATCACATATTGCCTTCTTATTCTTCCTAGAGTGCAGAAGAGAGTAAACACTAGAGTTTCAGATTTAATGTAGTGTTATCTAAGTAACAGTGGAGAAAGAGGAAAAAGTTGATTGGTTGAAGTAGTATCACTTTGGAAAATCCACCGTGTGTGTGTGTGTGTGTGTGTGTGTGTGTGTGTATCATAATTTTACTAGAAGTACAGATATAAGATGTACAAATTATAAGAAATTCCAAGATTGGCTTACAGTGTTCAGCCAGAGTTGGATGAGGAAGCGTGCAGAGGGCGTCTGCACACTGGAGACTGAAGGATTCAGTCCAAGGTCTGAAGCCCACAGCCATGTTCTGTGCAAGTCCGTATCAGGATGCCAATTAATCTGCAACAGCAGGCAGATGATTCTACACCAGAAGGATGAAGGGTCCAAAGCAGAAGCCAAGAGTCTGTGCTAGAGCCAAGAGATGACGTCCAAGCTGATGGCAAAGACTGGAGCTCCTCTGAGGATGAATGTCCCCCCTTCTTCATTCTCCTTTAAGTGATGAGTCACTTTAGAGTGTGGCCTCCATGCCCTAGGGTGTGGAACTGCTGAGATGATTTAGTTAAGCTCTTAGCTTCTCAAGTTGACACAATCAGCCAACTACCACAATGTGTGTGTGCACGTGCACGCGTGCGTATACAGCACCTAGTGGTGTTCTTGCCACTTTCTGAGGCAGCTGTGGGAGTCTGCCTTGTGTCTTTATGTGATGACCACAATTATGGTGACTGCTGCCCAGCACCATCCAACTGAAAGGCAGCTCATGAAAACATGACTCTGTGTCCTTATCTACCTTGTTCAGTGGATCTGGCTCCTCTCCAAAGTTAAAATAACCACAAAAGGGAAGTGTTTTGAGTTGATTCAGGACATTGGCACAGCTAGAACAGCACAACTAAAGGCCCTCAGGAAAGAGGCTCAGAGATGCTGCAGAAAGTCTGCCAGGTGACAGGCTAGGTGTGTTCAAGGCAAGGGGGAAGATTTAGCAGTGTCTTCCTGTGATTTTTTTTTTTTTTTTTAATATTTAAACATTCACTTTTGGAGGGTTGATTTTGGGGGCATTTTTATTTTTTAGATTTTTGGGTTTGGGTTTTTGGGTTTTTTTTTTAATGTAATTGGTACAGGGTCTCATTTCACTGCTCAGACTTGTAGTGATTCTCCTGTTTCCAGCCTCACCAGAGCTAGGATTACAGGCATGCACCACCACTATGCCTGGTCTTTGTGGCAGGCTCAGCGTGCCTGGGGGTGGGATGAACAGGGCATGTGGTGCTGGCGATCGAACACCGGTCCCTGTGCTTACCTAAGCAGGTACTTAGTTTGCTGAGCTGTCTCACTGGCCCTTTGGTTTTGGTTTTTAAGACAGGGCCTCACTCTAGTTCAGAATGGTGCAGAACTCACTGTATTGCCCAGGCTGGCCTCAGGGCAGTCTTGCGTCAGCCTTCCATGTATTGGGATTATAAGCAGACACCATCATGATTGGCCCCTGTTAACTGTTTTTCAGTTATACCTTCTCTGTGTATTTGTGTAATTAGGTTGAGTATCCCTTGTCTGAAATGCTCAGCACCAGAAGTATTTCCAATTTGAGGGGCCGGGAGATAGCTCAGTAGAATAAGTGCCTACCTGGCAAGCGCAAGGTCCTGAGTTCAATACCTGGTACTGGAAAAAAAAAAAAAAGATTCTAGACATTTTTCAGATTTAAAAATGTTTGTATATACTTGATATATCTGAGGAGTGGGACACAAGTCTAAACGCAGGATTCCTTTATGTGTCACGTACACCTTAGACACACAGCCTGAAGGTAATATATTTTGTGAGGTCAATCAGTTGGCTGATGGTATTGATCAAGTACTTGCTACATGTAGAAAACACATAATACAAATACAGGAAAGTTGGCTCTACCCTGTCCCATTCTAGCGCTCCCTAAACACTTGGCATTGTGTTTTGGTCAGAACAGGGCTCACAGGCCTGAAGCAGTGTCTTTTTGTTGTTGTTGTTCCAGGAATTAAACTCAGGACCTTGTGCTTGCCAGGCAGGCACTGTGTTGCTGATTATGTCCCCAGCAGAGCTCAGAGGTCTGGGAGCAGAGCAGTTTTAATGGTATTTTCAGGGTAGTCATGTTGTGACTGTGATGTGTCATGTGAGGTCAGGTGTGGGCTTTTCCACTGGTGGCCTCATGTCAGCACTTACAATTTTTGGGATTTGGAGCATTTTAGATTTTTAATTTAAGATTAGAGCTGTTTAGCCTGTGCGTGCATCTCATTCTGGCTTCAGACACTGTCTTGCCTTCCCCTCTTACATCTTTATCCCTCTATTTTACCCTCAGCGTCTCTTACCCACACCCCTACTTTATTATTCGTTCAGAGAGGACTCACTAGGCATAGGGACCTAGGATTTGAAGGAGCAGGTTTGGAGTATGTGCCTGGTTTGCCTTGTCATCCAATACTTGAATCCTTTGGTCGTAAGAGCTATGTGATTTAGTGTCATCTTTATTTTTATTGCTTGCAGAGTCTGGTAAAAGATGAGCATGGTGAAATAATTTTGGACATGAAAGCAGTAGTGGTTGGTGATGAGGAGACAGCATTCCCCCCTCTGAGATCTGAGGACAGTGGGATCGGGCTCAGTGCCTCGTCACCGGAGCTGTCTGAGCACCTGCGGGTCCCTCGAGTCTCTCCCGAGAGAGATGACATCTGGAAGAAGGGAGGCAGCATGCAGAGGACACTGCTGTGCATCCAGGAGCTCATTGCCAACTTTGCCAGCAAGAACATCCTTGCGGTACCCACACCTGCACCCGTGCCTGGAGAAGAAAGCAATTCTGAAGAGCCTGCGGGGAGGAGGGCCAAGGACCCAGTGCCGAGCACAGGGGCCGGTGACTCTGGCAGGAAGAGCTCGTGGGACACCAAGCCCATCACTGTGCCCCAGTTTAAGCAGATGCTCTCAGACCTGTTCACAGTGCGTGGGTCTCCATTTAAGACAAAAAGTTCGGAGTCACCAGCATCTCTGCCCAGTAGCCCGAGCAGGAAGATGGGAGGAGGATGGGATGCTGACCGCATGGTCATTGACCTGCGGGGCTCCAAGGAGGACTGCAGGGAGGCCTTCGCCGCTGCCTGCCACCTGCTGCTGGACTGTGCCACCTTCCCTGTGTACCTGTCTGAGGAGGAGACCGAGCAGCTCTGCGAGATGCTTTTTCAGCCCCCAGGTAAAAAGGGTACCCCTGAGCCTCTAGCTGTGATGCTGTCAGTGAAATGACATTCACAAACCACCAAAGTTGTGTCCAGCCAGAAGGGGCCGTAAGCAGTGCACCCCAGTCCAGATGCTCTGAAGTCCAAAACTTCCTTAGCACTGGCACAATCCCAGGGCATTTGGACGAGGAATGCTCAGCCAGTAAAGTCTATGCAAATACGTAGTCCAATATCCAAAAAATCTCTAAAATTCAAAATGCTTCTATCTCCAGTCTTTTGAGTAAGTGATATTAATTTGTGTATTTTGTTTGTTTGATTTCTCAAAGCTAGAGATTACATGGCAAGATTACATTATGAGTCATTGCGTGGCCACTTGGTAAGGGCTTCATCTCTATTTGTAAGCCTTTAGGGCCCAGCACAGCCCAGCAGAAGGTATACCACATTAAATGTAGTGAGTAGCATAGGGCTTGTTGGAGTGTACCTGTAATCCCAGCACTCAGGAGGCAGAGGCAAGAGGATTGTTGTGAGCTCCAGACCAGCCCAAACTGCATAGTGAGACCCTGCCTCAAAAAGGCAAAAAATTAAAATAAAATAAAATCAGGGTGTCAGAGTGGTGCTCACTCTGAGACTGGGCTGAGTCTGTCCTTGTGTCTCTGTAGCTCCCAGTGGTGACCAGCAGTCCCTGGCTTCCGTGGCCTTCCTGGCTGTGCCTCTTGTGATCACCTGGTGACCTCCCTCTGTCTGTTTGGCAGTTTCCTCAAGGGATACCAGTTGTATTGGATTAGAGTGCCCCATGACTTCACACCCCCTCCATTACCTTCATAAGGATCCAGTTTCCAGATAGGCACCTAGGAAGTAGCCCTTGCAGAATCTTCAGGCAGGAACTCTCACCAGTCTTTGCTTGCTTCTGTCCCCTCCCTGTCCTCCCTCTCAGGGGCCAGTGATCCCAACTTTCCACCTTGGCTGAGGTCCCTGATGACCATTTGCTGCTGCATAACTGACTGCTACCTACAGAATGTGGCCATCTCCACCCTGCTGGAGGTGATCAACCAGTCCCAGTCCCTTGCACTAGTCATCGAGGACAAGATAAAGCGCTGCAAGAACTCTGAGCATAACCCATTTTTTGGTAAGCTGCTGATGGTGACAGTCCCGCCTATCGCCCCAGGGATACTGAAGGTCATCGCAGAGGACACAGACTTCTATCAGGTATTTTCACTGGGGGCAGGGTAGGCACACAACAGGACCTGCTTCTCCCACCAAGACTGTAATTGCTGACTGGGATGAGGACTGTTCAGCTGACTATAGCCCAACGGGTGCTGGGAGCCAAGTCACATTTATTTATTTATTTATTTATTTATTTATTTATTTTTGTGTATTTTTAGGGAAGGGTCTAGAGGATGTTCAGGGTCCCACTACTAGATGGGACTTGTAGCGATCTACCTGTTTACAACCTCCCAAGAGCTGGGATTGCAGATGTGCGCCACCATGCCCAGTCTCAGTTGCCATCTCAGCACCCCCCAATGGGCAGGCCCAAAACAGCAGGCCTGGGGATTGAACCCCCAGCCCCTGTGTCTGCTTGCAGGTGCTTTAATCCGCTGAGCTATTTGGCTGACCCTCAAGTCACCTTTATGCCTCTGTTGTCGAGCATGTAGCATAATTTCTGACCTATAGCTTGGCAGGGCAGGACAGCAGCCTTGTCTTCCAGCATGCCTCTCCCAGTGCATCACTAGCATCCTGCATCTGCCCTGCAGCAAGAGCAGCTAGGCGCTGTCATCCTTTCCCTCCTCAGTAGGGGCTAGGTGGAGCAAGGTGCCCATGAATCCCCCGCTGAGCACAGTCAGGAAATGCAGAAGCCCTAGTTGGGGAATGGGGGAAAGAGCACCCCATCTTCATGGCTGTGCTCTGTCTTCACGGCTATACCCCAGAGTGGGCAGAAAGCTTCCATGAAGTCGGGCTGGTGGATAAGGAGCAGGTCAGGCTCCCCCAGATTCGCAGCATTCCAGAAAGCATCACTTACTGTACACTTGGCCCAGAGACTGTAAGGAAGCTGGCTTCTTTACTTACTTAGTCAAAAGGTGTGGTATCAGAAGTTTCATTTTACTTGATGGTTAGAGATCACTTTAGAGAAAAAATAACAATGGAGGGGCTGTGGTCATCAGCAGTTAAATTCATCCATTTAGACAGTTTGGTCAAACAGAAATAAGTAGGCCAAACAAACCCAGAGCCAGGTGTAGGGGCATATGCCTCTAATCCCAGCACTCAGAAGGCTGAAGCAGGAGGATAACCCTAGCCCAGGCCAGTTTGGGCTATGTAATGAGTTCAAAACCAACCTAAACTACTTAGTAAGAATGTCTCTAAGGCAGTCACTTGATCAGTCCCATAAAAGTATGTAGTCTAAAGCTAAAGAATGCCTAGACTACTGGAATCTATGAAATGCTAACTCGTTTTTTAATCTCAGGGAATCCCTGAAACACTCCCATACCAAAGTAGGACCCAGCCCTGCCACTGAGTGAGGTCTCACCTCAGGCTCCCTAGAATGTGTGGAGAGGCTGCGGCTTCTGCAGATCCTGGGCATTTAAGGAGCTAAGCTTGGGCTAGGGGGATGGGCTGCTTGACGTGGGTGTGATTGGATGTGGAAGTCAATAGGCCACCATACACAGCAAGGGGACGAGTGTGGGGTCGACACTGCTGGATCATGACTTAGCATCTGCATGGTGGCCAGTGGGAGCCCTTGAGGTCTGTGTGCTTAACCACAGAGTGGGTGATGGCTGGGACCAGAAACCTGCCAGGCTCCCTGGCGGTGCAACTGTGAACACCCTGGTGCCAGTACAAGCTGAGGCTGGGTACGTTCTTGTCAAGAGAAATTTTCAGCTACCAGGTGTAAGGATCTGTTGGTGTCTCAGTGTGATCCATTATACTCAGGAGAAACTGTGGCAGGAATGCGGAAAAGATAGACAAGAGCTGAGGTAGGGTGTGGCCCATGTGCCTGTGGCAAGATGAGTCCCAGAACGATATGGACATTTATTTATACCTTTGCAAAGTTAGTAACACAAGACACAAGTAACAACCAACACCTTCTCTCAGGACTGAGTTAGCTTGACTGCTTTAGGCCCTGAGGCCTAGTCCCACTTTCACACATTTGACCAATTTCCAGCTTCTGTGGCTCCCAACAACCAGGTGGAGTCCCTTCCTGAAAGTAGTGTTAAAGTCTCGGCAAACGCCCTGGCCTTAGCCCATCAGAGTTCCAAGTCGAGCCAGGGGACTGCTAGTGAGTTTTGCTTTATGTTGAGTGCGGCTCACATGGCTCTAGGTGTCCAGGGTTTGTGCAGAGCACATTTGGGCTCAAGGCAGTGCAGGGAGGCTGGCCAACACGAGGAGAAAGGGAGCAGGCCTGGACTCTCCATGAGGCCTCTGCTGGCTTCTCCTTCTGCCAGAGGGTGGCGCGCGTGCTGTGGGATCAGCTGAACAGGGATACCCGGGAACACCATGCCACCTGTGTGGAGCTCTTCTATCGGCTGCACTGCCTGGCCCCGTCGGCCAGCATCTGTGAGGACATCATTTGCCAGGCACTCCTGGACCCTGACAAGGTGAGCCCTTCCGTGTCTCTGTCCCCCGCTGCCCACACTGAAGCAGGTGTGTCGAACCCAGGTGGGGCTCTGCCAGACCACAGAGTCCTCCAAAGACAGTTGTGCCTACAGAAAGGACCCCAGGGGAAATCTGTGGCTGGTAGCAAAACAAGCCATCACCAAGAGTTCACTGGCCCTTTGAGCATTTAAGTGAGGTGTGTCCTGCTGGACACGGGGCCTGTGGGCCTGGCACTGGGAAGGGGCACAGGAAGCTACAGCCTGCGCTGCACTCAGACCACAAGCCTGTGTGTGACCTTGTACACCAACAAAGGCTGCATTTCATGTGTGCTCCACTAACAGCTACTCAGAGAGCACCCTCTGTTATCTCGGTGGCTTCCTGTGTCGGAAGAGAGTTGCCTATGGATCCAGCTCCTCACTCCCACTTCTTTCCTCATCAAGGGCACGCGGTTGGAAGCACTCTTTCGGTTTTCCGTGATCTGGCACCTGACCAGAGAGATCCAAGGCGGCCGAGTGACGTCTCACAATCGCTCCTTTGACAAGTGAGGCGGTTTGGGGGTGGTTTACCCTTTACACAGGGGTCCTGGCCAGTGCCTTAGCCTGAGGTATGGAGTGATAGGAAATAGATTAGAGCCCCACATGAGCCATGAGCCCTGCACACTGTACATCATGGAGTGCCCAGTCCACAGAGTGAGCCTCAGCCAGCACAGAGAGAGAGAGAGAGAGAGAGAGAGTGTGTGTGTGTGTGTGTGTGTTTGGGTCTTCAGAGTTTGGCAGGGAGTACTGAGTGAGAACTTCCTGGGGGTGCCATTTGTACTGTGTGCATACATGCACTGAATTCTGTCCTGCATGCTAAGCTGCGAGCTTGAAGGCAGGTTCACTCTGCTCCGCTTTCTGTGTGCCCCACAGTGTCTCTGAAGCTGGCAGTGGGCCCAGGCACCCAAGGTTCAGAGTTGCCAGCAGGTTCTGATGCCCCTGATTGAGGCCTGAGCGTTGGGAGTTAAACAGTTTCCTTCACAATTCTGACATGACACCAAGGCTGAGACCCCCATTTCTGTCCCGTCTGGAAGCCCAGCGTGGGGAGGCTCCCTGGGTACGCATGTGCTGTGTCACCTGTGCCCATCATCTGCAGCTGAGCTCAGGCTCAGTGGTGTCCTCCTGCCCACAGATCCCTATTTGTCGTGCTCGACAGTCTGGCCTGTGCAGATGGTGCCATCAGCACGGCAGCCCAGGGCTGGCTGGTTCGTGCACTGTCGCTGGGGGACGTGGCGCGCATCCTCGAACCTGTGCTCCTGCTGCTGCTGCAGCCTAAGACCCAGCGGACGTCCATCCACTGCCTGAAGCAGGAGAACTCGGCCGGTGAGCGGGGCACAAGTTCAGGGGCCAGAGCTATGGGTCGCTGTTGCCAGGTGGAAGCAGTGTGAAAATGATCTTGTAAACGCACAGGCACTTAAAGTATGCGAGGACCACTGGACTACCACCTAGAACTCCCAGGTGGCGCATCTGTTGCTTTTACTGCCAAGCCAGATTGGTTTTATGAAAAAGAACATTTTGAAATGCACAAATGGTATTATGAACTGTGGTCACCATACCATGCAGCAGATCACTAAAACTTAATCTCCACAGTCTGAATGAACTTTTGTACCCTTTCCCCTTTTCTCTCCTTCCCAGCCTCAACTATCCACCATTCTGTTTTTTGTTGATGGGAGTAGATGTAATGTCAGATTTTTTTGTTGGTTTATTGATTTGTATTTTATCCCAGGCTGGCCTTCACAGGATTCACTGTGATCCTCTTGCCTCAGCCTCCCGAGTGCTGGGATTACAGATGTGCGCCACCATGCCTGGCTGACAGGAGCAGTTGTAAAATGTTCTCACCACACAAAAAAAATGAAAAGTGAGATATGGTAGCTTTCTTTAATCATTCCACAATATACATGTATCAAACACAACACATTGTACCCCATAAATATATGTATTTTAAAATATTTAAAAATTAGTACAAGAATAAGTAGCCTATGTTTCAGTCAGAATAGGGATACTTGATATTCTCATCAAAGAAAACAAATGTTCTAAGATGTAACAGTTTTGCCTCACTGGGATAAGAGCACCAGCATCTCAATTTAAAGGAAGACAGAAGCCAGGTGTGATCATAGCACTTGGGAGGTTGAGGCAAAAAGATCACCATGAATTTGAAGCCAACGTGGGCTACATAGTGAGAGCCTGTCTCAAAACACAACTAAAAAAATAAAGGGGAGAGTTACCTTGCTTCACATCCTCAGAGTTGCTGGCTCCAAAGCAGAGCAGGTGGCAGAAAGGCCTTGAGGAGGAAACCTGCTCACCTCACGGCAGCCAGGAAGCAGAAAGCAAAAGGCAGGGCTGGTGAAGAACGCGCCCTCAGGTCCTGCCGTAGTGACCCCTCCAGCCAGGCACCCTCTGGCAGCATGTCAGCCCCGAACTCCTCGGTGGATCAGTTATGGCACCCGTGATCCAGGCACCTTCCAGAAACCCTGCCTGAGCACAGAAGACTTTGCAGGGCCTTTTTAGATCTAAACCATGACATAGAGTAAGAAGAGCAGATAGCAGGACATCTCCACAAAGGTCTCTAGAGCTGACACCTGCTCTGTGTGGAGGAGGAAAGTATGGCTGAGTGTCCATGTGCCCTTAAAGAGTGGCTTTGCCTCAAATTGAAGAGTTCCACCTGAATTCACTGCCCTTTGGGGAGGAATGATGTGGGAGGTGTTAATCACTGCCAGTACTCAAAACGTGCATGTAATCTGGTCAGTTGTATTTTATCTTTAAAAAGTACTCATTTAGCCAGGCAAGTGCCTGTAATCCCAGCACTCAGGAGGCTGACACCGGAAGATTACCAGGAATTCCAGCCCAGACTGGGCTACATAGTAAATTCAAGACCAGCCTAAACTACATAACAAGACCCTGCTTTAAGGGGGGGTGGGGGGAAGAATACACACACACACACACACACACACACACACACACAGTTATAAACCTTAAAAACAAGGTAGGGGCTGGGGATATAGCTCAGCAGCATAAGTGCCTGCCTGGCAAGTGCAAGGTCCTAAGTTCAATCCCTGATACTGCCAAAAAAAAAAAAAAGTAATATTTTTTTCTGTCTGCTCTCTAAGGTTCTTTACAACTGTAAAATCCTGTTGAGATAATCAGGAAGGCAGAAGAAATAAGCCTTTCATTTCACATTGAACTCCAGAGGCATTTTGAACACATATTTAAAAGAATATATCCAGGCGCCACACATGCTGATCAGCAGCAAGACAGCAGCCTGGCTGACTTGGGGCTGAGGTGAGGAACCCACCTTCCTGCCTGAGGTATGGCAATGGGCTTGGTGTCCTTCTGGGTCCCAGGCTCCCATTCTCAGGCTACCAAACCACAGCCACCTTGCAGCCACACTTTCCATCTCTATCTCTTCTGCCACACACTGCCACAGCCACCCTGAGGTGGCCACATGCCCCACAGGTCACAGTTCCCATGCAGTGTAAGGGCAGCTAGGCACAGGCCACACAGTGCAGCCCAGTCCTGCTACGGAACAGCGAGAGCCTTCTGCACACAGGTCACGGCCGGCCAACAGTGGGGACCACTCCTCTTTGCCAGGAGACCAAGCAAGCAACCCGGGAGGACCAGCTGCGCCTCAGCCTGGTGCTCCCACTGCCCCCGCCCCAGGGCCTGGGATGGCCCTGTTTCTCCCTGGCATGAGTAAAACTGGATGGCAGCAGAGGAGGAGCTCAGACTGTGCCTGGCTCAGGAAGAGACACACTGGGGTTATTTGTGTCATCTGCTGTGCGCCTCTGCTCCTGGCCAGGGACACTGAAGGCTGGGGCCCCGAGCATGAGCCCTGACCCCTGGCAGACAGGGCTCCCCAGGCTCCACCTCCCAGTGCACCACTCCTCACCCACTAGAGGCAGCACAGGCAAGTGAGGATTTTTCAGTGTGCTGCCGCTAGGCTCCATGGAACTTCAGAGACTCCTAGTCATACCTCTGCGCCTATGTCTTTCCCCACTGCCGGCTGCCTGGGCCTCCCATCAGTCCCTATCCTTTTTTTTTTCCTTCTCTTCCTCCTCCCATCCCTTCTCTGCTCATCACCGCAGACTAGGAGTTTAGCCTACCTGTACTTTAATTGCCCTGATAGAAAGGGGAAATAAGCCACCTACCACACCAGGATTGTGAGGGTACAGTCAATGAGTCCATCACCCACTTCCCCCAGAAAAGAATATAAGTTGAAAGAAGAAAAAAAATTAAAATGAAATAAAACTGTCCAGTCCCTTAAACTTTTTTTGTCCCTTAAAATTTTTAAAAAACATTTATTTATTATTATTGTGTGTGTGTGTGTATGTGTGTGTGTGTGTGTGTGTGTATGTGGCCAGCTTAGCCCACCTGGGGGTGGGGCTGGCTGGCATGTGGTGCTGGGGGATCAAACTGCGGTCCCTGTGCTTTGCCAAGCTTGTTCCAAGTAGGTGCTTTAGATCACTGAGCCATCTCACCAGCCCCTGTCCCTTAAATATTGATCATTAATAAGCACTATAGTTTGTGAGCTAACATTACCTTAGTATAAAATAACTGCCCTGCTTTAAAGGAAATAATACTGGGCATTGTGGTGCATGCCTATAATGCCAGCACTCAGGAGGTTAAGGCAAGAGGATTGTTGAGTTCGAGATCAGCCTGGGTTACAAAGTGAGCACAATACCAGCCTGAACTGCATAGTGAGACTCTGTTTCCAAAAAACCAAATAAAGTTTTATTCTAAGCCCACTGACCACGGAGTGGGACGCCAGATTACTGTGATTGACGTGTTCCACCACAGAAAAGGATACAATGGTTTTCATACTCATAGAACAAAAGAAAGTCACAAATCAGTACACTGATGCATTGCATCAGCAGGGGCATTGGACAGGAAGTCCACAGGTTTCAGTGGGAGAGCAGCCTTAGGATCGGGGTTGGGGTGAGACGAGAGGTCTGGTGAGCGTGGTGACATATTCCACAAAGCTTATCTGTTGAGTTTAGTTCAGATCCAAGTGGGAAGGTAAATTCTGCTGACAGGCCTTAAACGAGCCATGGCCAGTTGTGGCTTTGATCTATGCCAGTCCATCTCTCCAAGCTCCAAGTGGCTGCCATCAGCCAGTCTGAGGGATTTTTGATACACATACAGCTGAAGGGAGGGTGTGCACACTCCTTCCACAGTGGTTGTGTTTTAGACTCCACAGCTTTTCTGTGGGGCAGTTTATAAGCTTTGAGTCAGTTTGCTCAGGCTGGCAGGCCGCAGGGATCATCTGTCTTGCCTCAGAGATGCAACCCCCACCTTCAGGGAAACAGGCGGGAGTGACGAGTTAGCATCTGTGCAGGCTTCTTGCCTGCACCCACACCCTCTGCTTTTCCTCCAGGAGGGTGAGGGGAGATGTGGGATTAGTCCACATTAGTTTCCAGTCTTTTTTTTTTTTTTCCAGTATTTTTCTTTTGTTGTTAATTATTTATTTATTTTATGTGTGTGGCCAGCTCAGCCCACCAGGGGGCGGGGCTGGCTGGCATGTGGTGCTGGGGGATTGAACCGCGGTCCCTGTGCTTTGCCAAGCTTGTTCCAAGTAGGTGCTTTAGACCACTGAGCCATCTCACCAGCCCTAGTTTCCAGTCTTAACACATTAACTACAAACCAGGCACCTTGTAAAGTTTGGCTGTCATTCTTGGAGGCTTTTAGTATTTGTCTGCTTTTTTAAAATTTTTATTGATTGATTTGGTACAGGACCTCGCTATGATCAGACTCATGATCCTCTGCCTCAGCCTCCCCAGCACCGGGATTACAGGTGTGCACCATCACACCCAGTTTCAGGGCCAGCACAGTGTGCCCAGGGTTCCCAAGCTGGCACAGCATGTGGTACTGGGATCCAACCCAGGACCTTGTATTTGCCAGGCAGGCACTTAGACTGCTGAGCTATCTTCCCAGCCCAATATTTGTCTACTTTTTAAGAGGCAAGTTTTGACTCCACTATTCTTTGAGATTTTCAAGTCTTCCCCACATTGCCTTGCCATCCTCTGTCTGTCTCTGCCAAGGTCTTTGCCAATCACTGGAACCATCTGCTGCCTCTTAATCTAAGGGCTGAATTTGCTTTGCTGTTTTCTTCCCCTGGAGGAAACTAGGTGTGTATGGTCTCGGCCCACCTGTTTCCCAAATTTAGCAGAAATCTTTTTAACATATTGTGCACTTGAAGCTCATGAATTTCTAGTATCGTATTCCTCCCTTTCTTGATCTTGCTTATGTTCCTGGCATACATTTGTTGAAAGCTGCCTACTAAAATGTTTGGCGATATCAAAGATTTCTGGCTTTTACATTGCTGAATATTTAGAAGTGCTGTGCATGTGCTGATTATAGAAATGCTAATGTGGGTACTTTAGGAATTGGAATGAGGAGGTAAAAGTGTAAACGGAAGTCCCTGGTACTGCCAGTTCCTAGAGGTCAGACCTGCGTGTGGTGCGGTAGTTACCCCACCAGGCTTTTCCATAGCTGTGTGGTAGATTCCCTTCCCAAGGAGGGTGCAGTGGATGCTGACTGCTCTGCAGCTCACTGTCCCTTCATATGGCCCTGTGTCCTGCACACTGCTTGTGTGAGACCATGACTAAGTGATCCAGGCCTTGAACATTCTAGCAGACCTATTCACTTTCCCTGGTCCAGCTCTTGTCCATACTGTAATTGAGGCTCCACTGGAGTGGTTTCATGTGATGATGCCACTGACACTGATCTTTCTGTTGACTTTAAGACAGCATTGCACGGGTACAAACTTACCATCACTAACCCTTCTGTTCTAAAGTTGTCTGTTGTGTTATGGTTTTCAGAGGACTTGCATCGTTGGTTTCACAGGAAGAAACCTTCCTTCAAAGAGAATGGTGGGGCATCTGAGCTTGCAGAAGGTGGCTCTGAGGAGCACCTGCCCCTGAGCCAGTTCACCACAGTGGATCGTGAAGCCATCTGGGCCGAGGTGGAGAAGGAACCGGAGAAGTGCCTGCCACACAGCGAGCTGAATGAGGAGGACCTGCCCTATTACGTAGACCTCCCAGACAGGATGGCCCCCAGCGCCCCAGACAGCAGTGAGCACACTGAGTCTGCAGACACAAGCTCTGGCCACACTGACAGCGAGAACACATCCAGCTTCTCCTCCCCATCCCACGACCTACAGGAGATGAGCCTCGAGGACAACTGCTGTGCACCCATCCCTGTTGGGGGCAGGATGCACCCCAAGCGCTCAGCCTTGCCGCCAGGCTTCCAGCCCGAAAACCTCAAGTCCAGTGCCAGATTGAGCCTGGTGCGTGTGGACTCAGACAAGACGCAGGCGTCAGAGTCACTGTCCAGCGACGAGGAGGCAGACTTGGAGCTCCAGGCCCTGAGCACATCTAGGCTACTGAAGCAGCAGAGGGAAAGGCAGGAGACGCTCGAAGCCCTGTTTAAGCATATCCTGCTCTACCTGCAGCCCTATGACTCCCGCCGCGTGCTGTACGCTTTCTCTGTGCTGGAAGCTGTGCTCAAAACCAACCCCAAGGAGTTCATTGAGGCCGTGTCCAGGACCAGCATGGACACCAGCTCCACTGCACACCTCAACCTCATCTCCAACCTCCTCGCACGCCACCAAGAAGCGCTGATTGGCCAGAGTTTCTATGGGAAGCTGCAGACCCAGGCGCCCAGTGTGTGCCCCCACTCACTGCTTATCGAGCTTCTCACCTACCTCTGTCTGAGCTTCCTGCGCTCCTACTATCCTTGCTACCTGAAGATCTCCCACCGAGACATCCTGGGCAACCGTGACGTACAAGTCAAGAGTGTAGAGGTCCTCATCCGCATTGTGACGCAGCTAGTGTCAGTGGCCAAGTCCTCGGAGGGGAAAAGCGTGGAGTTCATCCACAGCCTACTGCAGAGGTGCAAGGTCCAGGAGTTTGTGCTGTTGTCACTGTCGGCGTCCATGCACACGAGCCAGAAGCGCTACAGCCTGGCCACCAGTGATCAGGGCAGGGCCCCAGTAGAGGACAGCCTCTTTGAGGAGAGCCTTATCAACCTGGGCCAGGGCCAGATCTGGAGTGAGCACCCACTGCAAATCGAACTACTCAAGCTCCTGCAGGCACTCATTGTCTTAGAACACCAGCTGGGCCAGGGCCAAGAGGAGACCGAGAGTCAACCGGCCCTGTCCCGGGAGTGGCAGAAGGCATTGAACTTCCAGCAGGCCATTGGCGCAGTGCAGTATGTGCAGCCCCACCCCCTCACCTCCCAGGGCCTACTGGTCTCAGCAGTGGTTCGGGGACTGCAGCCTGCCTATGGCTATGGCATGCACCCAGCCTGGGTGAGCCTGGTCACGCATTCCTTGCCGTACTTTGGGAAGTCCCTGGGCTGGACAGTGACACCCTTCGTTGTACAGATTTGCAAAAATTTGGATGAGCTAGTTAAATTATATGAAAGTGAATCTGTGAAGCTCTCCATCAGGTAGGTTGAACTCTGGGAGGCATTATTTTTTTGAAACAGAGATTCCCAATGTAGTCTAGGCTGACCTTGAATTCTGTGCAGCCCAGGAGCCCAGGCTGGCCTCCAACAGGCAGCGATCTTGCTTTAGCCTCCTGAGTACCTGGGTTAAAGGTGTGCATCATCACACCCAACTTTTTTGAAACATCTTATTGCTTTAATGGCAGTTTGGGAATGAATGGCTGTTTTGCTATGGATGCCAGTTGGAGGATACTTAACCCAATGCCTGTTTCATGTTGTAAAGGGCTAAGAAGAAGCAAAAGGTCAAATCTTTAATTTTACACAGCTACCCAAGCTAGATCAATGTCAGTTACTCCATAGTTTTTGCAAAACAGAAAGGAAAACACAAGTGGCATTCACAGAACTCTAAAACATCTTAAACCATCTTTCCAAAGTGCCTCTATGAATGTTGACTATAAAATAATACCAAAGTGATCCCTTGGTTTTTGGAGAGTCTCACTGTGTAGTGTAGGCTGGCCTTGAACTCAAGATCCTCCCAAGTGCTGAGATCACAGGTGTGCATCAGCAGCTGGCTCCAGGTGCCTATCTTACGATGATGTTTTATTACTGGAACCGTGCCATTTAACATCTGGCTTCTGTGTTTATATGTAGGATTAAAAAAACCCTATGGCCTCATCCTTAAAAATTCTCAAAATCAGTTTCTCATTTCTTCACCAAAGCACAACCTCCAAGAAGGAAAATATTTCTCCCGATTATCCACTCACTCTTTTGGAAGGTCTGACAACTATTAGTCATTTCTGTCTTTTGGAACAGCCGAACCAAAACAAAAAGGTATGTTTTTTCCTGAAAGTGTGAGGAAATTTTCATATGCTGTTTTGTGTTTATTGGATTGTGATTGTTTTAGATAAGTAACATGTGCAAGTGGTACAGGTGTGCATGCAAATATATGCAAGCAATGACAGCACATGCACAGGTGTGTTTGGGAGATGCAAATAGGTATGCAAAAGTCCATATATATTCAGATGTGTGAGTTACGCAAATTTGTCTGCATGCTAAAAGTGTATACAAACATATATGTAAGTGATGCACTTGTGGTTCTGGCTTCAATAACATTTGTTCCCCACAGATGAGCTCCTTGGACCTTTGTCTATTGTCCCTTCACGTAATTATGAAAGATAAAATGGAAATCTGCCTGTTTGACTTATATTTGTCTTTAATGTAGATTTTACTTGCTGTCAAGGCACTTGTGGGGTGGGGAGATGGCTCAATGGCATAGCTCCTGCCTGGCAAGTGTAAGGTTCTAAGTTCAGTCTCCAGCACCAAAAAAAAAAAAAAAAAAAAAACCAACAACAACAAAAAACAAAAAACGTGATGTTTGTGAAATATGAGTTGGAAAACATGGTAGCTGTTAGTTGTCCTAGCCTGTCTGGGATCAAATCCAGATACATCTAAAACCTCCATTGAATTTAAGTTTGTAATTTGGTCACATGACACACTGAGCCCCCAGCTGGCTCTCTTCCTAAGAAAGCCACAGGTTGACATGCACAGGGAGAACCTCAGCTGCCAGGCCACCCGCTGCACGTGTGACTGGCTGGGAAAGAGGTCAGCGGCCTGGCCAGGTTCTCCCAGCACCACTGCCCCTGGGTAAGAGTCTGTCGCCAAGGCAACAAGCTCACTCATCATTTTACTTCTTAGACTACAGTGGCATGTGATCTTGCCAGCCTACGCAATGCCAAGAATGCCATTTTGGAAGAGCTACCACGCATTGTTAACACTATGGCCCTTCTCTGGAACATGCTGAGAAGGGAAGAGATGCAGAAGAGGCCCTTGGACCTCCTGGGGATCACCAAGGGATCCTCCTGTGTCTACTTCAAAAGCACCAAGGTGAGAGGGGCCTTCCTTGGTCTATCATTTGCTTTGTCGTGCACTGTCCTCCCCTGTTAAGCATGTGTGGGAAGGTTTACGCAGGTAATGGAACAAATGTGTTCCATTAGCCAGTTTTGGTGATACCTATAATTTAAGCACATAGGAGGCTGAAACAGGAAGATCACTGCAAGGTCAGCTGGGGCACATGGTGAGTTTAAGGCCAGCTTGGGCAACAGAGTGAGATCCTGCCTCAACTCCATCCCTACCCCCAAATAAAAAGTACGTGAAACCCAAGGTAGATATCAGAGGTAGAATCTCCAGTTTGTTTATGAGTTTTGTGAGGATACATGGAACATGAGTGTGAGTGCTTTTGACCTATTTTCTTGTGTGTCTTTTTTTTGGGGGGGGGGTATTTTTCCCCCCAAGGAGGGGAGCTCACTGTGAAGCCCAGTCTGGCCTTGAACTTACTATGTAGACTAAACTGATCTCTAAGTTCTGATCCTCCTCCCTCAGCCTCCTGAATGCTGGGATTATTGGTGTGCACCACTGTGCCCATCTTCCCCCTCACTTTGATTTTAATAAAAATAAATTCACTGGTTAGGGGAAGCTGGGATACTTCAAGTACTCACCAGAGTTTGTAAGGAATTTTTGAGAAATAAATTTACTTATCCAGACCCTCAAAAACCTGGGCTTTAATCCACACTCTTGCCAGAATGCTGCCCAGGCTTAGATGGGTACCCAGAGTTGAGAAGCTTTTAATCCTTTTAGGCATCCCCCATGCCCCAGGATCCAGGGTCACAGTGTCCCTAGCAATCTGTCCCAGTGACACCAGTTACTTCCCAACACCCCTTCCTGTTCTGCCCCTTCTTCCCTCTGCATTCCTGTTCCTAGTTATTTATGGCCTTTTGACTTCTCAGGACTGTAATTCAGGAAAACTTGTCACGAGGTCACCTCTTACCCCTGAGCCTTATCTCGGCGTGAGTCTTCTTTCAGCCTGTGTGTCCCTGCCTACTGTCTGACCCAGATAATTCTGTGCATAGTGGTTGATAAACATGGACCAATTAAAAGTATCTTCATCTCTTACAGAATTTTTGTGAAACATTGCTGATTTCTTATGTTCAGTATCTACAGGCACCTTTGAAACCTGGGCACATGGGGTGCAATGTTGGGGCACACTTGAGTTTTTTTCATTAAGCCAAAGATACAACCCAGAGCATTTTTAATGTATGCCCCTCAATTTTTACATCTCTCGTTTTTAAAATTATTTATTTATTTATTTGATGCAGGGTCTCACTATACAACTCAGACTCATCGTGAGCCTCCTGTCTCAGCCTCCCCAGCACTGGGATTACAGGTGTGCAGCACCACACCCAGTTTCACATTTTTGCCTTGGATGGCTGGAGGCACAAGCCCTGCTCATTTTATGAACCCCCCCCCATTCTCCAACCCCGCCGGCTGGCTTAGGCTGCCTTAAGTGCAGGTCTGGTAATGCAGGTGGAGGTGGGGATCGAACAGGCAATATCCTGTGCCTGACTGCATTTGCATGAGCAGGGGCTTGAACAACTGAGTTAATGGGCAGGCCTCCACCCTGCTCTTTTTAAACTGGTTAGATAAACAGGGCATGGTAGCACACACCTGTAATCTCAACACTTAGGAGTCTGAGGCAGAAAGACCATGAGTTCAAGACCAGCTGGAACTACATAGTGAGACCCTGTCTCAAAAAACCAACAGGAAATGTTTTCTTCGTTGGTTAGATAATACAGTTAATTAAATGGTGCTTGTGTCTAGGAGTTGAAAATCAAATTTCCTGTTTTTTTCTTTCATATCTGTATTTCATTACTCATATTTGCAGTACCTTCATTGTGGGGAGCTGGTCCATGTTCATAACTCATCTTCACCCTTTTTATGCTTTCTTCCCCTTCTGTGAAAGTCAGCTCCGCTGTCAGCCTAAGCTTGCCTGGCTCTGCCTGAGGCCGTGGGATTTACAGAAGGAAGAGGCATGGCCCAGCTGCCTGGCTCTTGTCTCTCACTGCTCCCCTCGGTCTCCTCAAAGCTGTGTGTTGCTCCCTCCAGACCCTGCCTGGGCTAGGCTTGTGCTCAGTGCTCAAATGCTCAAAAGCTTGCCTGGCATACTCAAGGCCTCCAGCACCATGAAACCTGGTCTCTTCAGATCCTGAGCAAGGAAGGCACTATCATCTCCCCAGCCAGCCCAAAAGGCTTCTTGTGCCAGGCCTCCACCCCGTAGCCGGCTCCTTCCCTTCTACGGTCCTCCAGCTGTGACAGTGTGGGGATCCCGCGGCACTTGCAGTCAGAGGTGGCTAAGTATTTATTACATGCAGGCCCTAACATTACTCGGTAATATCTTTTTTATTTTCCAGACCATAAGACAAAAAATCCTAGACTTCTTAAACCCCTTGACAGCCCATCTTGGAGTTCAGCTGACAGCTGCGGTTGCAGCCGTTTGGAGCCGAAAGAAAGCCCCTCGTCATAGTAAAATGAAGGTAAAACTGCAAGGTGAAGGAGTAGAACTGGGCAGCAGATGCTTGTTTGTACCTGCATGGACAGAGCTGCAAGTAGGGAAAGGGGTGACCCCAGAAATGTGAGAAAAGCTCAGGTTTCTATAATGAAGGTATAATAGTTTTACTTGCCCCTTTCATTGAACAGGCCTACGAGGGTGTAGATCAAATATGCATTTGGGAGAATTTTTTTTTTTTTTTTGCTGGTACCAGAAATCAAACTCAGGACCTCATGCTTGCTGGGCAGGCAATGTGCCACTGGGCTATATCCCTGGCCCTTGGAAGAATTTGAAACCACCCATACCTCTTCTCTGGTTATAATACCATCTGATCTCTTTTTAAACATATAAAAATCTCGTATGTCCATGCTGACAGAGGCAGTGAAAGCATCGTATCCCTGTGTCTGAAGAAAACTCCCAGCTGCACCATGCCCATTGGGTGTCTGCTCACAGATCCATTACAGGCCCTCCAGGTGTTCCTACAGAGCCACCCTGGAGCCCCTGGGCTCCGCAGTCTGTGGTGATGCAGGCTTCCACTCTGGGAAGAGCCAGAGGTCAGGGTGGGGCGCCAGGCCGGCTGCACAGCGCCCTCCAGTGCTCCTGAGGGGCTTGTGCAGAGCTCTGCCGACACAAACCCCCATATTCTGATTGGCCTGGTGTCTCCCACCCCCGTGGTTTCAGTTCCATTTTTGGTGCAAACTGTTCCTTCCAAGTTAAGGGATGCTTGTCCTGCACACTCAGCAGGGTCCTGCCCTTGCCCACCATGCCCTGCTTGCTGCCTTAGTCACAGCTGAGTACTCTGGGTACTGGCCACACCTACCCCATGCCCACCATGCAGTTTTCATCCAGTCCAATGGGAAGTGATTGTTTAAAGGATCAAGGTGAATTCCTTTCTCAAAGTCTGCCCTGTGGAGTCTTTTCCCTTTTCTCCTGGTAAACCTTCAGGAGATTCTTTTTCCCTTGCAGATCATCCCACCAGTAAGCACCACCCAGCTCACCCTTGTTGACTTAGTCTGCGCACTCAGCACCCTGCAGACTGACACGGTGCTGCACCTGGTGAAGGAGGTGGTGAAGAGGCCATTGCAGATCAAGGGGGATGAGGTGAGGCCCAGGGGCCTGACAGCTGTCCTTGGAACCTTCCCCACAGGGGCACTCTTCCAGATGCCACTTCCTGTGAATTGTGCTCATGAGGAAGTACAGGGAGTGAGCGTAGATAGGACTTCTAAGGAGTCTGGGGGCCAGGGAGATGGCTCAGTGGAATAAGCACTTCCCTGAGGAGTGGGAAATGGAGGTGTCGGTGCTGTGCTTTTGGAAAGAGTCCAAATCCTTGGACTAGGCTCTCCCTCCATTGTGTCTCTGCTGCAGTGCACTCTGCCTGAAGCACAGGTTCTGGGCACCTTCTGCCCATCCCGCAGGACAGACTTTGGAAAGAGAAAATGTCACCCACCTTAAGGGACTTACAGCCTAAAGGGTGTCAGACAAACCAAGCCAGACCCTAGTGAGAGAGGACAGTGGTTGGGTAACCGCCATCCTGGACAGGCACAGGCTCACTTCCGGTTTGTGTGACAGTGATTAAAAGGAGGGCTGGGACTGCAGCAGAGAGTCGGGGAAAGGGACAGATGACAGAAGAGCAGGTGACAGGTGAGCCTGGACTTGCTGACTGGCAGACTGGAGGGACAGAGGGACCTTTATAACTATCAGCTTTTCATAAACAAATGCTCTAAGAAACTGAGTCAGGAACCCACACAGGGCCAGGTATAGGCACACAGACAGTGGGTTCTTTCAAGATGGGACCCTTCAAGAGCAGGCACTTGCTGGTGGGGCCAGACTGTCAGCCTGGGGTAAGCCTGTGCTTCTGGGAAGGCAGGAAGCAGAGGAGCCTTCTGGGCTGGAAGCTATAGTTCTTGCAGGCGACTGCCAAATGTGTGGGCTGGGGATATAGCTCAGTGGCCCAGTGCCTGCCTAGCAAATGCAAGGTCCTGAGTTTTAGTCCTGATACTCCCAAAATTAATCAGTTAAATGTCTTGGGCCAGCCAAATAGCTCGGCAGATTAAAGCCGGGGTTCAATCCCCTGGCCTGCCAGCATGCAGGCCCTGTCCCTGGGGCATGCTGAGACAGCAATTGAAACTGTGCATGGTGTCATGAGCCTTTAATCTCAGCTCTTGGGAAGCTATCAACAGGTGGATCGCTACAAGTTCCATCTAGTAGTGAGTCCCTGTACACCCTGTAGACCCTTCCCTAAAATACAAAAAAAATAGTTAAATGTCTTGATAGATCTCAGGAAAGAAAGAGGTTTTACCTGGCTACAGTGGCCCAAGACTGTGCTAGAACTGTAGCTATTCTGCGCAGTGTCCACATGGTGGTCCAGGGACTCTCTGGAGTGTTAAGACCTGACTCATTGCAGCATGGTGGTGCACACCTGTAATCCTAGCTACTCGGGAGGTTGAGACAGGAGGATCAGGACCACCCCAGACAATTGAACAAAATCCAGCTGCTCAACACCAGAGCAATTGCCTAGCATATGATGGGCCTTGGATTTAATCCTCAGGGCTGCTGGGGGGTGAGGATAGGGGAGAATTCTTTCAGGTCTATACAGCAGGTTTGGGGCAGGCCAAGATTTATAGTTCAGTATTCTTATGTCTTCAGAGGCTTTGCTTTTAGCCACAGCAGACCTCCATCATCAAAAAGGTAGAAGGTGATTGGCTCTTCATTGATAAATGTGTTAGAAAACAGGGATTTATTTCAACCTTAAACGAATTTTACTACTCTAGATACTCTATCTAAATGCCTTAAAATAATTTTCAACCTTGGGGCTGGGGAGATGGCTCAGTAGAGTAAGCGCTTGCCTGCCAAGCGCAAGGGCCTGAGTTCAATCCCCAGTTCCGAAAAAAAAAAAAAAAAATCAACCTTGAAATAAATCGCTTCTATGCAATAATTCAAAAATATAACTGGGAAAATAATGGAATGAATAATGATAAATACACATAATGTCATTCAAACAGACATTTGTCAACAGTGTCATAGCCATCAGCATTACTGACAATAGCCAAAAGGTACAAACAGCTGGAACACAGCCCTTTAGGTGGCTGGATGTGAAATGAGATCCACATGTGTGGTGTGCTGGTGCTCAGGGACTCCTGTGAAAAGGAAGGGACGCCTGCTCTGTGCTGCATGGAAACCCAGAGAATATGGCACTGGATAAACCAGCCTGTTGGGGCAAGTACCAGCTGATTCCGCTCCTGTGAGGTCCTCCAGGCAGGTGGAGTCAGGGCAGGGTCTTGCTGTATAGTCCAGGTTAGCCTTGCATTCACTCTGTAGCCCACCCAGGTATGCTTCAAACTCAAGCCCATGTTCCTGCCTCAGCCTCCAAGTGCTAGGGTTGTAGGCATGCACCACTACACCTAGCTATTTGATTGTTTTGTTGTTTTGTTTTTGTGTTACTAGAGGTTGGATCCAGGGCCTCACACACACACTAAGAACTGCACCCTGAGCCACACACCCAGCCCTGTAGCACTTTTCATAAGTGTGCTGCTGGGAGCACAGCCACCCACATGGGCTCCTATTCTGATTCCTCTCAAGGGTCTCGCACAGGAAACAGAGTTGTCCTCTGTAGAGCAGCCTGAGCCCAAGGACTTGCCCTGGGTGGACTTGACAAGTCACTGAGCTCAAGGTCCCCGGTTCCTCCCTTTCTCCCAGGGTTCTGGAAGATCAGCTGTGTGCATCGAGAGGTGGGAATGCTAAAAGCGAAGTGGTCAGTGCATTGGGTCACTGACTGTAGGTTGGACAATAAAGTCCCTCTAAAGCCTTTACACTGGCAAAGCAGATTATGGAACCAATCAACTGCTTAAGGAGTCCATGTACAAGGACATAGGGCACATGTTGGGCTCTGCCCCAGGTGTTCCAAGGTAGGGCTGTGTTCACGTGTAGACAAGTAGAGCAACAGTGTAGCTGAGCAGAGGCACTGGTGTCCTTGATGCTAAGTGTCCAGGACTCTGAGCAACACCAGGTGCCAGGGGGGACCCCTGTGCACAGGGCAGGGCCTGCTTGTGCGGCTCTCACAGGGACAGAGGACGTTTCAGAGTGTGCCCCCTCATCCCCTCAAAAGCTTCTGAGTGTCTGTGACTCCTGCTTTGTGTGGGCCAATAAAGAAACTAGGTCCTGGCTGGCTGGCTGATTTTTGGTGGTTCCAATAATGAAACTTGTCTCTGTAGTTATTTGGGTCATTGGTTCGGCTTCTGCAAGTAGCTTTTTCTACACTGGGTGGGGGGTTGCTTTGGAACTAGCTTCCAGATATCATTTGGGTCATGAGGGACTCTGCAGAACTAGGATGTTTCCTTATCTCCTGTCAGTAATTGCAGACATTTATTAGGGTCGGCACTGGCCCCCAGCTCTATTTGGGGAGGCTCCCTGAGGATGCTGGTGGGAATACTGGATGGACAGAGATAACCAGAGTGGGCAGTCACTACTGCACTCTGCCAGGAGGGCACTGGATCTGAGACCTCAGGTTATACTGGTTTTGCTCTCCACCAGAAGTGCCATCATGTGTAGTGTTCTACCTGAAAAGTCTCTGGCTAGAATGTAGAGCTCATACATTTTGTATTTGAGTTCTGTGATAGCCAAATGTGCTACTGACCTGGGGTCATGGGTTTTGTTTTACTTTTCAGAAATCGCCCCTTGCGGATATCCCCGTGTTACAGTTCTGCTACGCTTTTCTACAAAGGTAATGTGGCCCTGCAAGCCTTTTCCTGAGGCACAGGCACTGGTGCGGTGACCAAGATAGATAGTAACGAGTGAGCCATAGTGAAGGGCATCCTTTAACATGTCTTCATTTCTGCCCGACACTTGGCAATGCTCGAGTTTCTTTACTTTTCTTCCTCCTGGGACCCCACATGACCTTTTAAAATCTGTGTGCTCTATGTTTAAGACTTAATGTCAGCAAAGCTTTATATGACACACATTAAACTTTAAAAGATTCAGACTTACGTTAAAATTGATACAAAATATAAAAAAAGACCCACAAGTAGAAAGCGTTAAGAACTTCTGAGAAAATGGGGAAATGACTTGGTGGCATTTGCAGTGTCACTGATGGTTTGTGCAGGGTACATTGCACTCAGAGGCTCCCAAGCTTGGTGTGCAGAGGTTGGGGGTCCCCTCACACAGAGGAGGCCCCTCCTTGGGCTCCTTGAGCTTACACCAGTGCAGCTTGGCAAGCTCAGCTCCCAGAGCCTTCCTGTGGGTGTGGCCCTCTTGGAGGCAGTGAATAGAGAGAGAAGGGACACAGATGTGTTCTTAGGGCAGTGTCAGCCACCCTACGGGTCCACCAGGAGTTCTGCAGTAAATAGCCCTGACAGCCGGCTACAGGATCCCATCCCCCACCCACCCTTATTCTGTACTTGCAGCACACTGAGGGTAGGATCCCAGGAGTCCCTGGATCTGAGCATAAACTCAGACCCAGCAGTTACTCATTAGCCCTCTGAGGGTTAAAGATGAGCCAGGCACAGTCTGAGGCTTCCCAGCAGCTGGAGGGGACATTGCTGTGTCATCCTCCCCTGCAGACCGGGCCTTGCTGGGGTAGCACAGGAGGCAGTGAGCTGGAGACCAGGATACTCTACCTGGGCTTTCTCAAATGAGAGCTGTGTTTTGTGGTTCTGGAGCTGTGACATTGTTTCCTCCTGGCTCTAGCTTCCCAGAGGCCTGTCCTGGAACAGATTCCTAGGGGCTGTCTGTCTGTCCCTTTACCTGCCACTCTGCAGCCCACTGCCAGGTGACGCATCTGACAGAGAAGCAGAACATTAAAAAGATGAAAGCAAGAGATCAAATCCAATCCTGTAGTGTGAGACTTTTGTTTTATAGGAGAGGAAACCAAAGTCTCACTTTTTGATATTCAAAGTTTCCTAATGCTCAAGTGCAAGGTTGCCACTGTACCAAAACTGAGCTTAGACACATTGTAATTTGTGTGTGTGTGGGGAGGGTGGCTGATTCAGCCCACCCTGGGCACAGGGCTGGTGAGGTGTGTGGTGCCCGGGATCAAACTGTGGTCCCTGTGCTTGCCTAAGCTTGCCTAAGCAGGCACTTTATTCCACTGAGCTATCTCACCAGCCTGATACATTATAATTTAAAAACAGTAAAAGCTGGGTGTGGTGGCACATGCCTATAATCCCAGGACTTGAGAGACTGAGACAGGAGGTTCACCATGAGTTTAAGGCTAGCCTGAACTGCATAGTGAAACCCTGCCTCAATCACCCAATCAAAATACAAGGAAGTCAGACATGTTGTTTTCCCCTCTGCTTTCTAAGTCCCAGATCTAAAATGTGCTCATAAGTAAATGCCATGTTTTCACTTGCCTGTGGTTGAGTATTTTTTCCAACTTTTCTTTTAAACAGGCTCCCAGTATCAGCCTTACAAGAAAACTTTCTCTCGCTGTTAGGCGTCCTGAAGGAATCTGTGCAGTTGAATCTGGCCCCCCCTGGGTATTTCCTGCTCCTCAGGTATCACCCCCTGGCCTTCATGTTGTCCTAGTATTTTATTGAAGTATAGTTTTATTTTTGCAACATTTCTGATTGGAAGTTGATTGTCTCTTGGCAGCCTGCTGAATGACTTTGTAACCAGAACACCCAACCTGGAGAGCAAGAAGGATCAGAAAGACCTGCAGGTCTGTATGGGAGGGTTTTTAACACAGCATCATTATTCCAGTTGTGACATCTTTATGGGATATTATTGCCAGAAAGAAACTCTGCAGCAGCCCATCCTGTCTTGAAGGCCTGACCTCTGCCTTGAAGGGGCCGGGTGGCACAGCGCAGTGCATGCGTGGATTGCCTGGGAGCAGAAACTGTAGGCACAGAGGCTTTCCTTAAGGCTTCTTATTGTCCCTTGTTGTAAATGCAATATGTGCTCATTGAAAATGCTGGGAAACAAAGCAAACCTTGTCTGGAGCACAGAAACTCTTGTTAGAGTAGAATGTTACCTGATAGATGTCAGGAGGGACTTAGCAGATCAGGGTTTTGCCCCTGTTAGAAACCAATTGGTTGAGGCTGGTGAGATGGCTCAGTGGTCTAAAGCACCTACCTAGAACAAGCTTAGCAAAGCACAGGGACCGCGGTTCAATCCCCCAGCACCACATGCCAGCCAGCCCTGCCCCCTGGTGGGCTGAGCTGGCCACACACACACACACACACACACACACACACAAATAAATAAATAAATAAAATTAAAAAAAAAAAGAAAGAAACCAATTGGCTTGTCAGAAGCTTTGATTTAAACATGAACGTGCAGAATCCCTCTGTTTGAAGACCCCATGCACTGACACCAACTTCCAAGGATGTTCAATGACCCTGATAGAAAATGACATGGGCGCTTGATTTACTAGGGCAGCGCACAGAACTCGGGAAACACGCACACCACCTTACTGCTGTAGTGACCTGGCCGGCAGTGGGTGAAGAGCGAGCAGACCCACGGCCAGCCACCAGCCTCAGCATGGCAAGGCCCAACATTGCCAGTGCGAGGAAGCTGTCTCACCCCAGCCTTACAGTTTCCACACAGCTTCATGATAAACGCTTCATGATAGACCCAACCTTCTCCTCCACCCTCCCCAGAGCTGGGAGCCTTCTCCTCCCACCTGATATTGCCATGATATAAAGCCCTTTCAGGGGCCTCCTAGTCGCTGGTCAGCCTCCTGCATCCCAGGAGGTGCTTGGCATTTGGGAAGGGGCCGGGACTTAGGAGTTGCTTGCCTGGGAATGGGAAAAGCACTTGCACCTCTTACAGTGTCGCTCCCAGTACCCCGGGCTGTTGCCTCCCCCTCCCTAGGGGCTTGCCGGTACAGTCCATCCACCCGCAGGCACAGGGGTCCCTGCTTCAGGCCCACACTGAGCTGCTGCCCTGTGAGCATGCCTTGCAATGGCAGCGCTGCTGAACACCCATGATGCAAGTTGCCATCTCTGCCCCGCAGCTGGCCGCATCCTGGGCTGGTGATGCTCCTGACCTTGGAGGTGCCTCACCTCGCTTTGCCCCTCCTTCCAGCTTGTTTAATTTTCTTTGTATGTTATGGAAAAGATACATTTCTAAAGTATTGTTTTTTTAATATTTATTTATTTTTATTTATTACACTTATTTATTGTGTGTGTGTGTGGCAGCTCAGCCCACCAGGGGGGCGGGTCTGGCTGGCATGTGGTGCTGGGGATCGAACCGAGGTCCCTGTGCTTTGCCAAGCTTGTTTCAAGTAGGTGCTTTAGACCACTGAGCCATCTCTCCAGCGAAAAGATACATTTCTAGTGATAAGAGACAAAATTAAAAACACTATTTAAACTTTTCAATTTCCTTACTGGAGATCCTAGAGTCAGTCAACACTGCATTTATTCCACAGAACAGAAGCAGTGCTTAGCTGGTGAGCACAGGGCTTGGCTTTCAGACAGAGGAGAGCTGTAGAAGCAGGGACCGCAATGTGTCACAGTGCTTTCAGAGGTTTCTTCCTTGTAAAGGAGGATACAGGGAGGCAGATAAGGACCAAGAAACCAGTAACTGCAGGTTCCTTTTCATGCAGAGGTTAAGGCACAGGGACTTCATGAGCAGGCCCATGAAACCAGCCTGCTTTGGAAACCCAGATGTGATCTCCTGAGTCCTGATTTCTTAGAGGGTTAGATAACAGCTGAGCTTCAGCTTGGGAAGTGAAATTTAGCTTGAGTATCTCCATGTTGATTTGTGATCTGACCCATTGGTATCACCACAGTTAGCTTGGCCGAAACTAGTGAAGTTGTGTCATGTATAAATAATTTTCTATGATACATGGTATCATTGTATACACCTAAAGTGTACCAGTAAACTTCATTCATTACATAAAAAGTAGTAGCTTCAGTTTAGGCTGCATACTGAGCTCAAGGCCAGTCTGAACTACATAGCAAGACCCTGTCTCCAGAAAAAAAAAATCCAGATGTGGTGTCACCATGCCTGTAATCTCAGCACTTCAGAAATTGAGGCAGGAGGAATGCTAAGAATTTGAGACCAGCCTGAACTGTATAGCAAAACCTTGTCTCAAAAAGACAAAAAAAAAAAAACCAAAAAAAAAAAACCCAGAACACAACATAGTGGCCTCTTGAGCTGGGCAGAGTGGTGCCTGTAATCCCAGCACTTGGGAGGATGAGGCAGGATAGATGTAAATTCATGGTCAGCCTAGACTACATAGTGAGTCGCTGTCCCCCCCCAAAAAAAGTGTAAAATCTCATTAATCGTTATGTTGATTGTATTTTAGAATAGTTGGGTTAAATAGAACATATTATTAAAATTATTTGCCTCTTCCTTTTTTACCATTTAAGTTGCTCCTAGGAGCATTGTGCATGTAGCTCCTGGCCATGGCTTGTGTTCTGCTCTTGGATGGTGCTACCTGTAGGCCCCTGCACTTCTTGTCCTTCACTGACCTGCTTTCCTCTTGTGTGGGTCTCAGGAGATCACTCAGAAGATCCTGGAGGCTGTAGGGAACATTGCAGGCTCCTCCTTGGAACAAACCAGCTGGCTCAGCAGGAACCTGGAGGTGAAAGCCCAGCCTCAGGTCGCTCTGGAAGAGTCAGACGCAGAGGACGATCTGCACGGTAGGTGCAGGGGGCCAGAAGCCCCAATTGCAGTCAGCTGGGTGTCCCAGTGGTGCTGGCTCACCCCCTCTGACCCAGACATGACAGAAATGAAAAGCCAGGCCGAGAAGTTTGAGCAGGCAGGCAAAGCATCAGCTGAAGAGAAAAGAGAGGGCCAAGGGGCTTCAGCCTGAGCCAAAGGAGACAGGCTCATCCTCTGGCTCATCAGCGAAGAAGGGCAATAGGGGGTACAGTAGTACATACCTGTAATCACAGCAGTCTGCAAGGCTGAGGCAGGAGGATGGCAAATAAAGTTCCTCCTGGCCATTTAGCAAAACCCCATCTCAAAAAATAAAAATGACTGGAGATAAAGCTTAATACCAAGATCCTGAGTTCAGTCCCTCTCCGGCAAAACAAAGAAACAAAAGTGGTGGTAAGATATTTTTATTCATGTGCACAATCACAGGGGTGGGCTGAAGCCCAGGAATCTGTCCTGATCCTGGACAGTTTCCAAGGGTGTTTTCTCTTCCTGTGGAAGCCTCCGGATCTTGAGGAAGGGGTGGCCAGTGGAGCCCAGGAGCTCTTTCATTCTTTGCATCTGCACCCCTGTCCTGCATGAACTCTGGCCTGGTGGGAAGGACGGGTGCCACAGTTGTTAAGGGACACAAGCAGGGCTTGGGGGTGGAAGAACACAGAGATCACATGTTTAACCAGGAATGCAGTGAGGGTCCGGGAGCTCCTGGCCCTTTGTCCCTCTGCAGTGACCCCCATGGCAAGGGAGTCCTGGCTTTCCTGATGAGCCTAGTGTTTTGCATAGATGCTACAGGCAGAGGGGAGCTCACACCAGGCTTTTCACAGGCAGCACGCCCTGATTAAGGCCCCAGCCTGGACCTGCATCCATGCCTGGCCCCCATTGCACACTAGTTTTGCCTCTGGTGAGATCTTAAGTGTTGTCACCACTGGAAAACAGGAGTAAGCTGTGAAGATCAGGACTGAGGGAGGTGTTCAGGGAGGTGATGGTGGTTATTTCACAATGCTTCCGTCTATCAGACCAGCAGCCTGTAGCTACTATGTGGACTGTTTTCATTTCTTAGTTATACCTTAGATAGCTGAAGGCGAGCGAGGTATTGGAACTTTTTTTTAAAAGTATGAATGTAGGAAAAAGCATACTGCCTTCATTTCCCATTTAGAAAAACCAAAGTTCAGCATTCATTTAATTTTAAATGAGAATTACCATATCTTATAAATGAAATACCACTACTAAAAACAGCGTGCTATACACAGACTGATGCTTTTGTTTCCAAAGGATATTGATGCACTGGAGTGATATGATCATAATAAAGGCAAAATATTTGTAAACTTTGGGGATGAGATCAGGACTGGAGCCCAGGAATTGGCTTGGGGTAAATGCTGCAGCCACAAGCACTAAGGGCGAGTGCCCTCCTGGCAGACAGGAAGTGGCTGGGACTGGAGGTCCACACTGCCCTGGCAAGCACAGACAGACCAGTTTTTGGTTGTGCTGCATCCTCTTCCCTGTTGGCCTGCCTGTGGCTGGTTAATTTCTTTCCTTTTTTTTTTTTTTTTTTTTTTTCTTAGCTGGTTAATTTCTAAAGAAAAGTTTATTTTGGTTTGGCTTGGAGTTGGGGGAGCTCCTGTTGCATCATAATGTAGCAGAAAAGCAGAAGGGCAAACAGGCGTTTGCAGAAAGTGGCCAAATGGGAGTGGCAGCCTCGCATCTTAACACCCCACTCTCCTGTGAACTAATCCTGTCCTATGAAAATTAACCCAGCACTGCCACAAAAGTAGGGATACCCCTTAGGTCAGGCCAGGCATAGTGGCACATGCCTGTAGTCCCAGAATTTGGAAGGCTGAGGCAGGAGGATAGCCACAAGTTTAAGGCCAGCCTGCACTACACAGTAAGACCCAGTATCAAAAAAATATATATGCATGCCCTTGACAGCCATATTGCCTCTTAAAGGTAACACCTCAGCACCACTTAATTTTAACATGCATTTGAGAAGAGATAAACATATTCGAACTACAGGAAGAGAGTATTGGCTTTATCCAACAGTGCATTTTACTAAGTTCTTCAAAGGAAAAGAGAAGAAAGTGAGGTATCCTAGTCCCTGCTCTTGTTGCTGGGCCCATTACTTAAAGGGAGAGCTGGTTTGGCCTGACCACTCAGAAGTCTCTGTCCGTGTTCAGCTGGCTCGCAGTGGAAGGGACTGGCAAAGGAGAAGCTGCTCACTTTGTGGCAGCCAGGAAGCAGAGTGAGAGGGAAGAGCCAGAGAGGAGGGCTTGCCCGCCCAGGCCACACCCCAGTGGCCTCTTCTGACCAGGCCCGCCTCCCAACACCACACCAGTGGTAGCACCCCAAAATCCAGTCACCTTCCACAAGCCTGGCCTCTGAGCAGAAGAGACTAGGGGCTGACAACCACATAGGACCATAGGAAGAGGTAGGGATATTTGTCAGGTGGGTGGGAAAGCATGGGTATCCTTACAGAGGATGAGGAATGAGGTGGTGTAGTGATGGAAACTCAGGGAGGGAGGCAGCAGGCAAAGGCTCCAGTGTGGTCAGAGCCAGAGACGAGGTTTGGGGAGTTGGTGAGGCTGGGGTGTGACAGGGACAGTGAGCAGCTGAGCTGCAGCAGAGGGGCCGTTGGAAGAGCAGAGGTCCAGGGTGGAGACACCAGGATGCTGCATGAATGATCCAGACAATACTAAAGTGTCTGGAGTGATGACAGGAAGAGCAGCGGGGCAGGAGAGAGTCCATGCCTGTTTACTTGATTCCAGTAGCCTCATTCTCAGTTGCTAAAATCGAACTTTACCAGAGAAGAAGGCCTGACATTCACAGACGCAGAATTCAGGATCCCAGGATGTTTGGGGACAGTAACAGGACCATTGCCATGATTGAACACAAACACCCCTTTCTGTCATCAGATGCTGCTGCAGCTTCAGCCATGGTGTCAACGTCTGTGCCCTCAGTTTACAGTGTACAAGCGCTCTCTCTCTTGGCGGAGGTAAGTGCACACTTGCCCAGGGGCCCCTGTAAAATGCCTGCCAGCGTTGGGTGCTGTGAGCTCCGGTGGGGTCCTGGTGTCACAGTCAGCTTCCTGCTGCTATTACAGAATACTCAAGAGACCCCACCTAAGTGGAGGAAAGGTATATTTTAGCTAATGATCTCAGAGGTTTTGGTCCATGGGCGGTTGGCTCCATGCTCTGTTCTGTCTTGAGCCTGCAATAAAGTAGATCTCGTGGCAGAGAGGAAATGTGTGGCAGGGCACAGCTATTCACAGGATGGTGGCTGGGACACAGGAAGGTAAGGGTATGATCCCAGTGTCCCCCTCCAGGACAGGCCACCAGTGACTTAACCTCCTCCCATGAGAGTTCCAGCCACCTACCAGTGGCACCTCAAGCTAGGATCCCAGCCTGTCATGTGACCCCTCGGGAGTAACCCAGATGCCAAGGGTAGCAGGCCTCAGTCTGTACCAGGACTTTACCTCTAAGGCTCAACTTAGAGGACGGCCCTTCTTGCCTTCAGGTTTCTGTTTCCTTTCGGTCTCATCCTTCCAGGTCCTGGCCTCCCTCCTGGACATGGTTTATCGAAGTGATGAGAAAGACAAAGCGGTGCCGTTGATCTCCCGCTTGCTTTATTACGTTTTTCCGTACTTGCGCAATCACAGGTGAGGGCATCCGAGAGTGAGAGATGAGTTAGGTGACCTTCCTGGTTGATCTCTGACCTTGACCCTCACTTTCTCCTCTGCTCACATCCAGTGCCTACAATGCACCCAGCTTCCGGGCCAGCGCCCAGCTGCTGAGCTCCCTGAGTGGCTACGCCTACACGAAGCGGGCCTGGAAGAAGGAAGTGCTGGAGTTGTTCCTGGACCCCACTTTCTTTCAGATGGATAGTTCCTGTGCTCAGTAAGGATGCTGTCCCAATGAAAATGTGCTCCCAATCTTCAGGGGTTGGCCTTTGTAACTAATTCTCTTTGTTCCAGAGCCAGCAGAACTATCACATCAACCCTGTACAGTGGCAGGTTCCCACACTGACCATGTGTTCACCAGAAAAGCATTCTGTTTTTGTTTTCCAGTACTGGGCCCAAACTGAAGACATTTGTACTAAATCATATCCTCAGCCCTTTCTAATTTTGCAACAGGGTACTGCTCAGACTTTCAGTCCTCCTGCCTCAGCCTCCCAGAGTGCTGGATTATAGACCTACACCACCACACCTGGTTGTGACACTTTCTTTCATAATCATGAAGCGTCTCACCAGCACAGAGGTGGCAGAGCCCACTGGTAATCTTTGTGGCATCTTGACCACTGCTTGGCTCACGCACTCCAAAACCACACTAAGTTTTTGTGGTGAGCTGGTACTGTGCTGGCAGCAGAGACCCTTGGAGACATAGACATGAGACTGTGAAACTTGCCCCGCTGTGCCCCGCCCCCCTCAGCACACAGAGTGAGCCTTTCCTGATGACAGAAGGCGCTGGACAGAGGGTGGAGACTGGGGCAGCCTTTGTTCACAGCCAGTAAGTCACTCTGACCAGAAGGCCATGTGGAGCCTAGCATCTTCCATTCTGAAACAGTGTTGCTGAGTCCCACAGGTGCCCAAATCTACCAGTGCTCAAGTCCTTGATGTGAAATGGTGCCTTATCCACATAGAACTTGTGCCCATCTTCCTATGTCCTCTAAATTATCCCAAGAAGCCTGGGGACATAGCTCAGTGGGGCAGTGCCTGCCTGGCAAACGTGAATTTCTGAATTCAGTTCCCAGTGCCCAAAAGAACAACCAATAAATCATCCCAAGGAGACTTGCAATACCTAATACAATGTCACTGCTATATAAATAGTTTTGTAGACTGTGTCATTTTGAGAATAATGACAAGAAGTACATATATTCAGTACAGACACAGTATTCTTTTTTTTTTTTTTTTTTAATATTTTCAATCCATGGTCAGTTGAATCTGTGGGTCAAAAACCCCCATGTGTAGTGGGGCAGACTGCTGAGTGTTATGGCATATGCCTGTAATCCCAGCACTCAAGAGGCTGAGGCACAAGGATTGATATTGGTTCATAGCCAGCCTGGGCTACAAAGTGAGTTCAAGACCAACCTGCACGGTGTAGCAGAACTGTTTCAAAAGACAGAAAAATGAAGAGGACATACTGCAACCCCTTGCTTCTGTGGTCACCCTAATTTTACCCTCTAGAAGTAAGAGCTAAGGGTGCTGCTTGTCTTCACTTCCCTCACATCCCATCACTAAAGCTGTAAAAGTCATGCCGCATGAACATGCTTATGGACAACCATTGGAAGAGCCAGAGTACCCCACCAATCTGCTTTGCTTATGCTAAGCTGCAACAAGGGTTATGAAGAAAAGCTTTTGCTTGGCCTTCCTTCTACAAAAACATCTGTGTTGCTAACCTCTTGGGAGAGCAATTTTTGTCAGATCTTAAAGAGGATGTTTTGTTGATGTTTTTACTCAGACTGCCATCTATTGCATATTTAATTAATTTTGTTTTTTTTAAATATCCAGTTGGAAGTCCATTATTGACCATCTTCTGACTCATGAGAAAACAATGTTTAAGGATTTAATGAGTAAGTTCCATGTTACTTGTCACACTTTAGGGTCAGTGCCATCATAAAGAGCTTTTACTCCATATTTTAGGACCATTCAAACTTTTTGTGGTGCTAAACTATAACCTTGTATAGAGGTGTACATTATCAGGGCTGAGCAAATGCGTCTCCCCATCCAGTGTGGCCAAGACGCCGAGCACCCGCTTTGGCAGCCTTGAAGGAGGGAATGCTGCTGGGAGCACCTGGTTTACATCTTCACATTGATGTTGAGAGTGTTAGCTTTTCCATAGCTTATTAGGAGTACACTTCTACAACTCAGATCCTTCCTAGTGTCCCACCATTCTGGATCAATAATGAAAGGATTTTTTTTAAATGCATGGGCATAATAATCACATTTGTTCCCTTGAGAATGTGGTTTTTTTCACCAGGGCAGATAAGAATAACCCTGGTCTCAATTTCCTGCTGCCTTTTGTCATTTTCTGACTGAGATTTATCTGCTATATATTTATTCCAGACATGCAAAGCAGTTCTTTAAAACTGTTCTCAAGTTTTGAGCAGAAAGCCATGCTGCTAAAGCGCCAGGCTTTTGCTGTGTTCAGTGGAGAACTCGACCAGTACCACCTCTACCTCCCCCTGATCCAAGGTAAGATGGTCGTCCCCGTGCACTTTGTGCCACTGGAATAGATAGCACTTGCTAAAGCTTGACTGGCTCATGCGGGGTGTTCAGGATGAGTTTTTGTCTGCACCCCAGAAAGTGGAAGGACAAGAGAGAACGAAGGACCAAATCTGCTTTTTCATAATAGCACCAGTCCCACCAGCCACAAGAGTAAAGCCCTAAGGCCTGCTCACTTTAAAGGCCCCACCTCCCAGTGCCGTTACTCTAGCAGTCAAATTTCAGTGTGTGGTTTTGGACAGGACAAACTTTCAAACCATAGCCATGGCCAGCTCTTCCTTCCCCTCCCAGCACACATAAACCTGTAAGTCCCGGAGGGCAGTGCTGGAGAGCCCCATAGCATGTCTAGGCACAATGGTCAGATGTTCAAATGAACGTTCTCCAGGGAGGATCACTGGATTTCAGAAATGTATCAGTAGGCCTGGGGGCTGTAGCTCTGTGACCATGTTCTCCTAACATGCTGAGGCACCAGGTTCAGTCCCGCACCATAAAAACAAAATTGATGTGTGTCACCAGATCTGAAACTTCATTTTCAAAACCAATTATAATGATATTTGGGGGTTTTTTTTGGTGGAACCAGGGATTGAACTCAGGCCCTTGCACTTGCCAGGCAAGCACTTATTTTACTGAGCTATCTCCCTGGTTCCCAATATTTGTTTTTATTAGGTACATTATAACAGTCTGACAGTATAGTGGAGAAATAATACTTTCAGCACTGTCTACTGCTGGGTTCATCCTGTACTCAGACTCCTTGGGTTTGGTGTTTTTGCCACTGGGGATTGAACCAAGAAACTTCCTACTAAGCTACATCACCAGCCCTTCTTGTTATATTTTAAATTTTGAGTCAAGATCTAGATGGCTTAAACTTGCCATCCTTATGCTTATCTTCCCAGAGTACTGCGGGGGTTGCAAATACTTCAGTCATTTTTCTCCTTCCTGGAACAAGATACTTGACACTTACAAGTCAAAGGAGGAGAGGTTTATGCTGACTCAAAGCTTGTAGAGGTTTCATTCCAAAGTCAGCTGTTTCCATTCAGGACAACATGGCAGAGGGGCCTGGCGGAGGAGAGCTGCTTACAACACAGCAGACAGGAAACAGGGAAAGGGAGGAGCCTTTACTCCCCCAGTGACAGCCTCTTCCAGGTTCACCTTCTAACAGCAAATCAGCTATAAGCCCCATAATTCAATCATCTTTCAAGAGTTCCATCTGTGAGCTCATAAGTTTTCAGAGGGACATCTAGATATAAGCCATAACAGTCTGCCCCTTACTTCTCAAAAGACCCATGTACATGTTTTTATGCAAAATTTATTTAATCCTTTTTTTTCATTTACATATTTGGTATAGGGTCTCATTACACAACTCAGACTTGTAGTGATCCCCCTGTTTTGAGCCTCTCCAGTGCTGGGATTATAGGTGTGTACTACCACGCCCATTCTCAGTGGCTTGGCTCAACACGCCTGGGGTGGGACCAACACATCATGTGGTGCCAGGGATTGAACTCTGGCACTTGTGCTTGCCTAAGCAGGCACTTAGTCCACTGAGCTATCCTGCCAGGCCCTTATTTAATCCAGTTGTACGAGTTGACAGTGTCCCAACAGTTTCAGAGTTGTTGAAAAGTGCAGGTCCAATGTCACCTTTGAGCTTTAGGGCAAACTCAGCTGACCTTTGAGCCTTAGGGCAAACTCAGTTGTGAGCCCCTATAAAAATCAAAAAGCAACTGAATACTTCCAACATAGCAGAGGGTAAACATTTCCATTCCAAAAAGGAAGAATAGAGGCGTAGAAAACAGTGGGACCATAGCAAGACCAAAACCAATAGGGCAGACATTAAATCCTGTGGCTCCATGACCAGTACCTGAGGCGAGTCATGGCAAGATGTGAACCCACATGGTCTGTGTGGTCCCATCCCAGTGGCATTGCCAGAAATCGTAGCCCTCATGGCTTCTCTCTTGGGCTGGCTGTGCTCACTGCTTGCAGCTTTCCTCAGATGGTCCACATTTCCTAGCTTCTTCATCTTCTTCAGTCTCCATTGAACTTTCTGCTTTGCTCTCATAGTTCCTCACATTGCCTTCCCAAGAGGACAGTGCCTGGCCTTCCAAGTCTTCCAAATCCTGAGTATAAGTCTTCCTGACCTCACAACTCTTGTGTTGTGCATGGCTGTAAAGCCAGCACCACGTAGCTGATGCCAAGGTCTGCCACCAGCACAAGCAGTCCCTGGCCCCTTGTACCAGGGCAGTAGACGTTTTTGAGCACGTGGATGGCTGAGTACTCGAATCCAAATCCTGGGGAGCGACTTCCCTAAGAGTCAGCTTTCTAGAGTATAGCACCCTGGGGTTCTCTTCTCAAAGAAAAATTTTTTACCTTAGCAATTTTGAGCCAGTGAAGGGAGGTCCCTTGCTTATTCCTTACATTCTCTTAGGTTGTTGTTCCTGTCATCCATTTGGAAAGTGCTTGACTTCTCTCTAATGTGAATCTCTTTCATAACACCCCTTTTCTGCTTTGTCTTTGCAGGCTTCTACTTTACTGGAGCTTCCTTTCTAGTCAAACTCAAAACTTCTAAGTCATTCAGCTATGCTGCTTGCCCTTGATTATCAGTATCCTGCTGTCCAAAAGTCCCCCAATGTTACAGCTTGAATGTTGGACTACCTTGGTATTTCCACTGCCAGATTAATTCTACCACCCTCAATTTCATTCTCTCACAAAGCCTCAGGACACAAACAAAATGTAGACAAATTTTCTGCTAAGGCATAACACATATGGCCTGGTATCCAAGTGCCAATGCATTTCTTATTCACAACTGAAACCTCCTGAGCTGGTTTTGCTATGTTTGGTGGATTTGAACTCATTATATATCCCAGGCTGGCCACAAACTCATGATCCTGCCTCAGCCTGCTAAGTTCTGGAATTCTAGACATGTACCACCAAACCCTGCCATAAAATTTGTACTATAAAATTATAGGTATGTGCTACCAGCATTCTTGTGTGCTGATCTCTGACCAGAATCTCACATCAAGCTCAGCCTACAGCATTCTAGGACTGCTTCTCCAGGCAGCATCTCCAGGCCTTTCAAATTCCTGCCATAAGCCAGTTCCGAAGTCATCTGAACATCACAGCAGTGACCCCAGTAGATGCCAAAACCTATTTCAGTCACCAGTAGCTGAAAGGGGTAGAGTTTTATTTTGGCTCACAGTTGGTAGAAATTTTAGTCCCTTGGCAGCTTGCTCCATAGCAGGTGGTGTGGTGGAAGGGCCTGGGTGGAGGAGAGCTGCTCACATCGTGGCAGATGTGAAATGGAAAGAGGAGATGGAGACAAAGATGAGCCCTTCCGCACCACGTTCTGTATTCCACCTCTTTGGACCAGCCTATCTCCTAACAAGTTGACAATAAGCCCCATAATCCAGTTTCCATAAATATGTAGAAAAATCTATATTTTGTGGGTGTTTTGTTTGCTTTTGGTTTTGCAGTACTAGAGATTGAAGCCAGGACCCAGTGTCTTTGCACTGAACCATACCCATAGCCTGTTTTTCATTTCCAGATAGTATCTAAGTTTCTGAAGTTGTCCAGACTAGGTGCAAACTTGTGATCCTTTGTCTCAGCCTCCCAGAGTGCTGGAATTATAGATGTGTATCACCACACTGCTCTAAAATATGTGGGCTTTTTATTTTCATTCAGTCATACAGTACATCATGATTACATTCATGTCAGGGAGTTGATGCGTGCACATAACACATCTTCATTCTTTCTTTCCTCTTCTTTTCTTTACCTTCCTCCATCTCTTAATCCCCTTGCCATTTGCAAAAGACCTTTCTGTTTCCTACTGTCTCTCGTTTTGCTCATTATTTACACAGTGGTACCTCGATTCACATACTTAATTAGTTTTGCTTTTTTGGAAAAGATAACCCTGGTCATGTTTGTTGCCCGATGCAATTTTCAAAGTAAAACAAACGTTTCCCACATACTTCTGTTGCAAACAAAAGCATTTGTGAACCAAGGTACTCATGCAAGAGAAACCATGTCATATTTTTGCTGTGTGTCTCATTTATTTCACTTACCATTATGATCTGCAGGTTCATCCGTTTTTCCCAAAGATGACTCAAACTTTTCCTTTTTTATGGTAGAGTAGTACTCATTATCATAATAAATGAAACTATAAAAAGCAGATCATTCCTTTCAAAGCAGCTACTTTTTTAGCAAGGAGGGAAGATGCCACTTTTCGGAGAAGGCTTGCAACTGCAAGCAGAAACATTGAAACATCACCCAGGACTTGGAGGCAGATTTATTTAACGTTGACTGGCACTGACAAGGAATCGATCCTTATAAATGCATTAAGCCTTGGCCATTGGTAGTTTGGGGATTATAGATCAGCAAGCAGGAAGTACAGAAGCAGATTATTGGGAGGTTATTGACTGGTTCTTACAACATGCGTCACAGTGACCAGCCATTTCTAAGAGATGAAAGTAACAGGAACTGGAACAGGCACTCAGCTGAGCAACAGAAAGAAACTGATGTATGCTGGCTGGGTGCAGGGGACGTTCTGTGCTACAGGCCAAGCTTGGGCATTGTTGCTTCCAGAGCCTGTGGCTGAGGCATCAGGTGCCTTCAAGGTAGGACAGAATGCGAGTGTCATTTGACTCCTAGAGCATCTCCCATCTTTCCAGTCTTCCTCCTTATGCCTGTTGGCTTGATTTCTGTACCCAGATGCCCATACTGAGGGGTGTGTTTGTCTCTTCCATCTGAAGCTTTGTTGCCACTAACTGGGGTCGTTGGGCTGAGGACAGGCTGTCCTCATCCACAGGCCACTACCTTCCAGGCCAGCAGGGCAGGATGTCACTGTGCTTCCAGTGATGAGGAACAAGGACTCATGTGGCCATGGGCTACCTCCTAGGCTCCCCAGCCTGGGCAGTGCAGTGGCCGTGGCTCAGACTTTCTCCAGTGTCTGCTCATAGGACTTTTAAGTTTATAAGGTTATGATTGGCCTAAAAAAGGAGTACTAGAGACCAAAGAAAAGGAGGTTCTTGGCCAAAAATAATCTTCTGGAGTTAACTTTAGTTTGAAGTATATGCGTAATATGTTTAGGCTGGCCTTGAACTCACGATGATCCTCCTGCCTCAGCCTCCTAAGTGCTGGAATTAAAGGTGTGGGTCACCAGACCCACTTCTCTTAGCCATTCTTTTGCTGGCAACAGATTCTCTTAGTTTTACTTCCCGTAGGCTATTTTTACTTCACCTTCATTCACTTAGTTTAGGGGGCTTTAATTTTTTGGAATTTGTGTCTTAGGTTACTGACATTATGCTATTAAATACCTTTTCTTATTCATTCATTCATTCATTCATTTATTTATTTATTTATTTATTTATTTATTTATTTATTTGCAGAACCGGGGATTAAACTCAGGCCCTTGTGCTTGCCAGGGAAGTGCTTATTCCACTGAGCCATCTCCCCGGCCCCTCTTTTCTAATTCAAGTTAATGTTTTTGTGCAGTTGTTTCTTTTTTTTCAGCAAGTTTTCCATTTTTATTGTGAGCACTGAATCACTAGTCTTATATGCCTAAAAGTGGTGATGTGACAAAATGTCTACACAATTGAATAACATGCTAACTAAAATATAGCAATTAAAGTAATTTTTCTGTAGTTAAATCTTAAATGTCACTACACAGTAATTATAAACAAGTCCACATGGCAATTATGTAACAATAGGAAAAAAAAAATATTCCATTTTCTTCCAGCAGCAGTACCTTTACTGTGTTAATTTGTTAATCAGGTGTGCTTAAATATTGCCTGATGTCCTGTATTGGTATACAGGCTAAACCCTTCTATTTCTATGCTTGCAAGGCACCATATAATATTTTTTCTACACTTCAGCACTATGAACAAAAATGGCATTCTAAGATTAAATATAAAATTTTATCTAATTCAGTAAATAAAACAATTAATATTTTAAAATTTAATCATATAGCAAGTGAAAACTTACTGAAAATATGGCAGAAATAAGTCTCTTTGTCTTCTTATTTAATGTATATTGCTAGGGTTAGCCAGATAGCTCAGCAGACTATATCCTGTCATATCCAGAAAACATAATTGAAAAGTCACTATTAATGAAGATTCTAAAATAGTCATTTTGTTTGACCATGTGGTATCTCTCTCATGTACCCTGATATCTGGTAAGATGCTACTTAGTTCAGTGATTAATGTCATGCATAAGTTTGTAAAATCCTTGTGTTCCAGGTCATAAATTACCATAAATTTTACTTAGAGTGTCTTTCATAAAAACACACATAGGATCCCAAGCAATATTGATTGTTACCATGTGGAACAAAACTTTTGTAGTAGCTCTTTGCAACGTTCTGTCTGGCTAACCTCCCTATGTATTTTCTTTTTCTCTAAGGCATATAAAAGCTGAGAATAAATTATTCTTTTTAAACATAAAGTTCTATGACTTTTAGCTGCAATGTTTGAAATAATTATACAAAATAAATGTGAGCTTTAGGATCATTTTGTGTGAGGATAGGAAGATAATTCTCCATAGGCTATCACTTGGTAAATTTTAGAAGGTGGAATTTATTGATCTCAGGTCTCCCTGATCAAATGCATCCATCATGATCATCACTATCATCTTCGTCTCCTTCCTCCTTAGCATCATTTTCAATTTCTTCTTTAACATTCATTACGACTCCCACATCATCTTCCTCATTAGTCCATTCGTGGAAGTCTCCACTCACAAACTCTCCAGAGATCTCGAAATCTAGAGCACAATCAGCCACACCATCTCTTCGGGATCCTGTCACTTCATTTCCATTTCTGTCAACACAGCGGCACTGCCCATTGCTTCCATGGCACTGTGTTGGCTTGTAGTAACCATTTTCATCACACAGGGGGATGTATTGTGCCAGGAGCTTCTTTACTTCTTGATGCTTTTGAATATTGTTGAGCTCCATCTGGCAAAGTGGGTTATGCTATCTCTGGAAGCAGTAGCACCATTCATTGTTGAATGTCAAACTGTCCTGGTATGTGTCACAAGAATTGAAGAATGCTTTGGTGCACTGTTCATTCTTATCAAGGTAAATGCTCCCAAGCTCTGTCTGGTCCAGCAGTAGGTCATAGTTTGTATTGTCTGTTTAACATCCAGCCAAGTGAATCTTTGCACATTGGTAAAATGCTTGTGTTGAATCTGCTTCCTTTGGGTCTCAGTAATGTTCTGGCTTCCACTTTCATGAAGGGCTTTGAACCAATCCCATAATCTGTTTGCCACTTCTCTGAATTCCAGGTCGCTGCATGCTCCTTTAATATTTTTGCTTGTACTTGTGGACTTATCTGCAGGACATGGGTATCGTCCTTCACATTTGACTGAGATCTGTTTTCCTAAGACAAATGCCTAATCCTCTACATGGCACTGAGAAGAGTAGGAATGACCATCAGAACCAACACAGGGCTGGTGGAAACCATTGGGCACTGAGAGTGCTCCAATGTCTATGACCCATTCCTCCTTCTTTCATAAGTTACTGGAGGTTTCAGTCCACACTCAGCTGGCTCCAAGACAGACTGGGACATGGCAGAGAGCAGCCTTTCATGGTGGAAGCAAAGGGAAGAGAGCCAAAGGGAGGAGTCTGTTTTTGTTTTTTGAGACAGGGTCTTGCTGTGTAGTTCAGCTGGCCTTGAATTTGTCTTGTATCCCAGGCTGGTCCCCAACTCAAACTGATCCTCCTGCCTTAACTTCCCAAATGCTGGGCTTACAGACAGGTGCCACCACACCTGGCTTCCAGCAGAGATTTCTGCATCTTCCCAGTTAGGTGCCCAGACTCAAATTAATTGAAAAGCAAAATTGTTTAAAGCTCAAGATATCACTGCCTGGGCTGGTGAGATGGCTCAGTGGTCTAAAGCACCTACTTAGAACAAGCTTAGCAAAGCACAGGGACCACGGTTCAATCCCCCAGCACCACATGCCAGCCAGCCCCCCCCTGGTGGGCTGAGCTGGCCACACACACACACACACACATACATAAATAAATAAAATTTAAAAAAAAAGAGATCACTGCCTGCTCATCCTGTAGCTCCTCGGGTCCCCAGCCAGCCCTGTCTGCTTTGCTCCACCTCTCATCTTCTGGGCAGCTAATTTCTGTCTCTTGCTGAACATGTGCTGTAACAACCAGAGAATGAGTGTGATGCTGTACACGCTGTGCGTTAGCTGCTCCCAGACTTGCAAACCACTTTTGTACAACACCAGCTTATCTAGCATCTGACTATGCATACACCTTCATTTGGTCAGATACTTTTAAAGACAAGAAATAAAGAACAATGGAGTGCAGCGGTGCACACTTGTAATCACAGCACTCAGGAAGCTGAAGCAGAAGGGTCACCATGAGTTCAAGGCCAGCAGGGCTACATACTGAGACCTCGTCTTAGCAAATCAAATACATAAATAAAAGAGGTTGAGGACTGGTATGCACCAGCAGATCTCATGGCAGCCAGCATGCACTTATCTGACTGGTGAACAGGAAAGAATGTGAGAGCCCAGAGAGTCTGACTTGCTGCTTTTCTCCCTAGGAATTGAAGTTTTCACTGGGGTGGTCTGATTTCAGTTTTACCAGCTAAGTCTCTCTGCGACTTTCTGCACTCCGCACCTGCACAGCGTGCGCTCTGCCAGGGCTGTCTTGGCTTCTGAGTCACATAGTCTTCTTCCTAAGGATGGTGTCGTCGGTCTCTGGGAAGTTGGCAGTCAGAGCCCTGGCCTGCACCCTCAGCCTCAGCAGTCCTGCGATTCGCTTCCTTTTGCTGAGGCCATGACCCGCCTCACTGCATACCGGCTGTCATCAGGGCATCTGCACAGTTACTGATTTAAGCCCCCTGTGGTGTGCATACCTGTGATCCCAGCACTCTAGCAGGCTGAGGCAGGAGGATCACCAGTTCCTGCACAGCCTGAGAAGCATAGCAACTTGGCAAGACTCTGTCTCAAAATAAAAAGTTAAAGGGTTGGGATGTAGCTCAGTGTGGAGGCCATGGGTTCAATATCCAGTACTACAAAAACACATGACAAAAAGCACAAAGCAATTAGTATGTTGTTTTCTTCTGTGGCTAATGAAAAACCCCAAAGTGCATGTTTATGTGACCTTGTTTATGTAACCTCTTCAAACTCTTCTTTCCTTAGAACGCCTGACAGACAATCTCAGAGTTGGACAGACACCCATAGTTGCTGCTCAGATGTTTCTTTTTTTCAGAGTTTTGCTGCTAAGAATCTCTCCTCAACATCTGACCTCACTGTGGCCCATCATGGTCTCTGAATTGGTGAGTGCTCAGATTTGATTCCAGAGTAAGGTTAGAGCTTTTAAAAAGGTTTTTTTTTTTTGTTTGTTTGTTTTTTGTTTTAAATCATTAACTGTGCTAATCCAAATAGGTCTCATTTTATGTAAAAGTCAGGAGCATGGAATCAGCTCTTGGTTAAATACAGAAAATTTTATTTGCTTGCTCAACTGTTAGTTTTTCCAGCCAGTGGCTACCATTTAGTAACATTGAGAGGTTGGTTAGTTGGTTGGTTCTTTGTGCTTCTGTTGGGAGTTTTTTGTATGTTTTCTGAGGCAAAGTCTCATTGTGTATCTCAACTGTCCTAAAGCTTGAGGTGATCCTCCTGCCTCAGCCTCCCAAGTGCTGGGGTGACAGGCACATAGCACTGTGCCCAGCTTGTTTTTTGTGGCCCTGAGATGATGCCCAGGGCCTCACTGCACATTAGACCTGTGCTCAACCAACAGATATGCTAGTTTGGGGAGGTTTTGTCTCTGAAGATCGTAACAGGAACGTGTTTTCTCTTTAAGATTCAGGTATTCGTACAACTAGAAGACGAACTGAAGGAGGATGATGAGTCATTGAGGTAAGGACTGGCACCAGCTCTGTGCAAGTGTGATTAGGGACACCAGCTGGGTATGGTGGTATGCACCTGGAATCCCAGCTACTTGGGGAGGGGAGGCAGGAGAATCACAAGTTGAAAGCCAACCTGGAGGGGCCGGGGAGATGGGTCAGTGGAATAAGCGCTTGCCTGGCAAGCTCAGGGACCTGAGTTCAATCCCTGGTTCCACCAAAAAAAAAAAAAAAAAAGACAAGAAAGCCAACCTGGGCAATTTAGCAAGACCCTGTCTAAAAACTAAAAGGATTGTGAGTAGAGCTCAGTGGTAGAAGCTCCTTAGATTCAATCCCAGAACTGGGGAAAAGGAGAAGGGAGATCAGCAGTCCTTCCTGTATGATAGAGGGCCGGCTGGGGCTAATGCTGTCTTCTTTGGACACTTGAAGTAACCACCTACTGTGGAATTTTCTCTGTATTCTTTTCAGTTGGATAGTGTTGGCAGATACTGAGACTCAAGCCCAGAGGCACTGTATCACTACACTGTATCCCCAGCCCTTTTTATCTTGAGACTGAGTCATGCTAGGTAGCCCAGACTGGCCTTAAATTTAGGGTCCTCCTGCTTCCTTCTCCCAAGTAGCTGAGATCACAGGTGTGCACCACCATCCCAGCTCTGAAAGGAGAATCCTTCCAATGGGCTTCTCATAAATAAATGGGCTACAGTGGATGTGAATAAATTGATGACCAGAAGCCAGGAGGGAGGGTGGGGGGATTTTAATTTTTTTTTTTTAATTGATGACAAGCACATCTCTGCACATTTACAGAAACAGCAACAAAATAAGCAGAAAAATTTCGGTTGCTGATGGAAATGGGCCCTTGACAGGAGAGATGGCCCCAAGTGAACTCATCTTGTATTTGTCAGCTTGTAAATTCCTGGACACAGCCCTCTCTTTTCCACCTGACAGGATGCCACTCTTTCAAATGTAAGCAGCTGGTCATTCTTCCCTGTCTCCGCTGTCACCGTCCAGTGTGTGACAGACTCGGTGTGGGTTCCTGGTGGGATGGAGCCACCGGAAGTAGCAGATGTCAGATGACCTGGAACTCTGGCTTCCCAGTGGTGTTGATGTGCAGCTGTGCAGTGTGGGTGTGAGTGTGTGTTGTGCCCTCAAGGATCCTGCTACAGAACGCTTTGGGAGAGGGCTGCCCACTGTGCGGATTTGAGCATCTGGGCATCTGTCCATCCATTTATCCATCTGTCCATCCATCCATAGTTCAGCACAGCCCCAGCACCAGAGCACGCACAACATCATAGGGACAGGAAAAAAAGCAGCAACTTACAGGCCTGGCGGCACACACCTATAATCCTAGGCTGAGGCAGGAGGATCATCTTGAATTCAGGCCCAGCCTGGGCTACATAATGAGTTCAAGATGAGTGTGAACTACATAGCGAGACCCTGTCTCCAACAGACAAAACCCCAATAGAATCCACACCAGCAAGACTGAACCCTAATAACCTGTGGGTGCCGAGGTAATGATGTGTCAGCGTGGGTTCATTGAGAGTTTCCGCTCTGGCCTTGGAGTTCAGAGAAGGCAGCTGGGAGGTGGGGCAGTACTAGGGCACCAAGGGCACTCTCTGCTTCCTCCCCAGCTTAGTGTGAACTTAAAACTACTCCACAAAAGAAAGTTGTTTTTATCAATGGACTCAAATGTACACAGTTATGTGCAGCAGCATTAGGTAGCCAGAAAGGCAACACCCAAACAATTACCCCAGGTGATAGATGGATAAGTAACACAGACCGTGACTGTCCTCAGAGTAAAATAGCATCCTGCAGTAGAAGGTGGGGGAATGGATCCCTGCTGAAAATATGGCCCAAGTAACGGCCCCAGGGAACATACATCCTGCCCCAGCCCTGCAGAGCCTGCTAGGCAACAGGTGTCAGGCAAGCAAGGAAAATCCCAGGACTTGCGAGAGTCTGAGTTGCTAAGACAACATCAAGGGAGGACAGGGCTGTAGTTGCAGACCACCAGACCAGGCCCCAGTTCTACGGTGCGCTCCAGACATCCTCAGAGGGGCGCAGACTCCGCAGCAGTCCCACAGAGCCCAGCAGTGGCGGCACAAGCACTGGCTGGAAGGGGCTGGCAGCAGCAGGCACAGTGGGCAGGGTCCCCCACAGAGGCCCTAGGCTGCTTTATTCTGTGGAGACCCAGGTTCTAGGCAGGAAGGGATTCAGGGCCTGCCACACAGCACCTTCTGTGTAACCGAGCTCTCTCCACCTGTGCTGCCCTCTGCACGGGGCAGGCAGCCCGCAGACACAGGAGGGCATTTCAGGGACCATGGCATAAATGCTCAAGCTTTTTCAGGGGACCACATAAACTGGTCCATGACCCCATCCCTGTGGTTTGTTGGGGATAAGGCAGTCTGTGGAGACAGAAAGGGCATCTGTGTGTTGCCTAAATCTGTAGAGATAGAAGATAGATCAAGGGGCATAGGACAGCTGGCTGGTGCCTGCATTTCTTTTAGGTAATAAAAATACTCTAAAATTGCTTAAGTTAGTGAATGTATAATTCATTGAACATTAAAAGAGCTATTGGCTGGGGATATAGCTCAGCCTGTTAAGCTCGAGGTTCTGAGTTTGATTCCTAGTACCCTCCCCCCACCCCAGGGGGGGAAGCTATTGCCTTGTGTATATGAAATGGCTATGGTACGTGAAGTCCTTTTTTTTTTTTCTGAGATAGTCTCACTGTGTAGCCCATGCTTCCTTGATCTCATGGCAGTCTTCCTGTCTCAGCCTCTGAGTGCTAGAATGACAGGCGCACACCACCACACCTGGCCTGTGAATTAGATCACAATAAACTGTTTTGCATGTTTTTCCACATGGGCCTGACCCAGGGTACCTGATCCAGAGCTTCCCCCCAGGTACAGGTGGGCCTTTGTTCCAGAGGTGGACACAGCAGGCTCTGCCTCCCTGTCTGACCTAGACGAGCCTCACCAGGAATGCAAACCCCACAGCATCAGGATTCTAGAACTTCTGAGATCGAAATACGGGGTAAGTGCTTTGATTTCAAAAGTGATGCCCATGGCAGGGAGGAGAAGGCTGAAGAAGGGAGAAAGTTCTTCAGATACCAGATGGCTTTAATGACCAGAAATTTTCAAACTATCCCTTAGTTTTCAAACTTGCAGTGGTGATAAATTCTGTCGTATTTTCCCATGGACAGCTCTTCCCAGTAGGTAAGAGGGAACACTGCCTGGGTGCAGAATCACCCTGTGCCTCCAAGCTACTGTGTTCTGAAGGCCCCAGGGAAGTGGAGGACCTGGCCAAGCCTCCACTGAGCTCAGGCAGAACCCAGGTGAAAAGTATAAGACCCAAATAGGATCACAAGTCCGCATCTTGTACAGCAATCAACCACTAAGAAGAATATATGCAGTGTATTATTTGTTGAAACTGTACTTCCGATTTGATTTGAAACTGTCTCATTGCTATCTGTTTATCAAAACTGTAGAAAAAAATATAAATAAGACCCGAAACCTCAGCCTCCACCCCTCCCACCAAGCCAGCACTGGATTGCCATGAATTGCTCGTGGCTCACAGCATCTCCACCCTCTGTGAAGCCCTGCCACTTCTGTGGTCTTAACTGTCTTGCTTGGTTTTGTCATTGCAGCAAGTCGGCAGCCCTGATGAGATCTCCCCAAAGAGCGAATTTCCGCTGCTGCGCCAGCATTCCGTCTCCAGCGTCAGGCAGCTGACTCCGTTCTTCCAGACTCTGAGCTGCGCCTTCAAAACCCCAGCTCAGCGCCCAGCCACTGAATCTGGATCCAGATCTGCAGCACTGTCCCCAGAGCTCCCCGGGCCATGCATGCTCAGACAGCTGGAGGAGTGTGTAGAATACGACTTTTTGGAGCATCCTGAATGTTAACATTTCTAGAATGTGTTTAATCCATTCATTGCGACTTGGGTGAAAACCACAATGCGTGCCCAACAGAGAAGGCGCAGGGTGTGCTTCTCAACAACTCTACTTCAAATCTGAAGGTTCATTTCAGATCGTTTTCTTGTCGGCAGCAAAACACAACGCCCTAGATGCCTTGTGATATATTTGAATCTTGCTGTGTGTTTCTGCTTCAGTTCTGTAATGGAAATAAAATCACTGCATCCCCTGACGGCAGCGCGAGCTCCGAGCCACTGAAGGAGGGAGAGCGCGGGCAGAGGCCGTCCTTGTTGGCGCAGCGGTCTGGCCTTGCTCGGGCTGCTTCTCTGAAAGTTCAAGCTTATTAAAAGAATGTTATTTTTAAATGCCTCACATGTCCTTTAAAGTGTTTATTGTGATACTGCATCTTAAATGAAAATTATGGTTTTCTGAGAATAATGATCGCTCCTTACCTATTCAGTAGAGCTAAGCACATAAATATATCTCATTTTCTTCAACTCTTGCCCATTAAAACCACATTTGCATATTTACCTCATAAGTGCATAGTTCTGAAATTCTGACAACTGTCAGCTATGCAGGTTCATCATCTCTACTCAGGAGACTGAGACAGGAGAGTCCCAATGAGTCTAAGCCAATCTCTGCTGCAGAATGAGTCTGTCTCAAAAAAAAAAAAAAAAAAAAATCCTGACAGCTAGAACCTTAGCTCTTTGCCTCTTGTAGCTTCCAAGTATACTGCTTTATGTAAATGGGTCAGCTGGTCACAGAACGGCCAATGTCTGGAAATGCCAGCAGGGCCACTCCTCCCTCGACTCTGGGTTCTCTCTGCTGTGCTACAGACATTGCTGACATGAAAACAGTTCTTGGCCGTGATGGCATGTGCTCCCACCCCTTCCTGCACCTCTGCATCCTGACTTCAAGCTGCTCGTCCACAGCAGGCATGGAGCGTGTGCTAACCAGCCCCTGCTGCCCCGGCCCTTTCAGTTTCCCTCAGGTCCCAGGCAGGCTGGTGTAGGCTGGCCTGATGGGCTCGACACGTATAGCTGCACCGCGGTGAGTTTGGAATCCCTCCAACATCATTGGCTAAATATCCTGTCTTTGGTTGGTTGTTTTTTTATTTTTTTGAGGCAGGGTGTCAAAGTTCAGGTGTATATTTCAAGCTGGCCTTGAGCTTGGAGTGAGTTTCATGCCTCAGCCTCCTAAATTCTGGGATGATACCACACCCAGCTTTTTTTATTTTTTAAAACAGGATCTGGTTATGTTGTCCTGGCTGTTCTCAAACTCCTAGACTTAAGCGATCGTCCTGCCTCAGCCTCCCCCGTAGCTGGGAGTGCAGACCACATACGTCTACCCTGAGTGGTTTGCTCCAAGCACCCTGCCACATATTTTGTGCTGTGAGAAGAAAACAAGTGTCACTGGCTCCAGTATAATTTTTGGGCCTCACTGGACCTCCTGACCCCTTAAGTGAGGGCTGAAAATTAGCAGCAAGCACCACTAGGTATGTAGGTGATCACACAGGTACTTGTGGATGATTACATGGAAATTATTTCTTCCTTTTATGCAAGGGACTATCCTTAAAGTAAGAGATATATGTCATCAGGGGCCATCATGTCATGGAAAGCAGCCCTCCTGTCTTTTCTGTTTACAAATTTAGTTTGTTGGCTTCTCGGCAATATGGCAAACAGCTTCGTGGTTATTATTAAGCCTTTATTAAATGTATTCTTTATCAGGGAAATCCTAAAAGATGGGCTGAACACTCATAAGTGTGTGTTTATCGAGAATACTAAAGAAAGAAGTTCTAAGTCAGGCAGGTTGGCCTATGTCTGCAATCAGTACGCTCAGGAGGCTGAGGCAGGAGTGTTGCCGTGAGTGTGACACTGGCCAGGGGTCCGTAGTGAGACCGTGTCTCAATCGTCTTGCAAGCGGGCATATACGCCCGGCTCTTTTTCAAGGTGAGTGTTGTAGTTGAAGCTTGGCTGTGAAGTCAGCTTGCCTGGGTGACTCAGTTTCCCAGCACACAGAGCCTAGTAAGTACCCTGAGCTACAGTTTCCTCCTCCATAAGATGGGGCTGTTGCTGACAGCTGCCTTGGGGGAATAGTTGCAACCAGTCTGTGTCTCCCCTGTCCTCTATTTCAAAGTAAGAAAAAAAAGTAAAATGAATGTTTTAGGTTATTTTGGGTTTGGGGCTTTTTGTTTGTTTGTTTTTGGGGGTATTTTTGTTGTTTGAAACAGGTCTCACAGTGTAGTTCAGCCTAGCACTGAACTTGCTGTGTAGCCCAAGTTGGCCTCCAATTTGTGGTGACCTTCCTGCCTCAGCCTCCCAAGTGCCAGGGTGAGCAGCCTGGATATTTTCTCCATCCTCCAGTGGATGAGCTGCACCCACTCACGGAGACCACTGCTCTGACTCAGTTCCTCATGGAAGGAGTGCCATGTGTCACCACAGGCCCAGTCACCACACTGACCACGGGCCGTGAATGTGAGCATGCACAAGCCGCGGTCTGAGCATGGAGGGAGCACAGCCTTGCAGGTGGGCAGGGGCGTCCCCACCGCGGGGCCAGGTGGTCGCTGGTGTCCAGGGTAGGGCTTGCTTCCCCCCGCCCCCCACTCAGAAGGAGGCGCTGCAGCCTAGAGGCCGGGTCAGTGGGAGCAAGGCTCAGAGATCCAGGCTTGGAAACCCAGGTGGCGGTTCATTGAGCTGCGCTAGCCACAGAGGAGCAGCTCAGGAGACAGCCCAGTAGGAGGACTCCTGGAAAGAGCTTGGGCCAGGCAGAAGGGCAGGGCCAGGCTCTGGCTATTGTGTTAGTGCTTGGTGCTTGCTGAAAATTGGGAGAAGGTGCTGGGACCATGCAGACACTGGATGAGTTCTGTACTTAGTACAGGCCCACAGTACGGACACTTGTCCTCCTGGGGCAGAGTTGGTACGTGCACATAACTCATCTTAGTCCCTGTCCACCCCGTCCCCTCCCATCTGAGAAAGCTCTACCTCCCCACCTCCTATTATCCATCTTCATGTTGCTCTTTCTTTATAATGTGAGCTTCTCATAAAAGACAAACCATGCCATACTTAAGCATGAGTGTCTGATTCACTTGGCATCATGGGCTAAATGTGAGAAGCACATTGACTTATCCAGACCCTGAAACACTGGCTCCAGAGGCAGCAGAGGTGAGGCTTTGACCCACACTTGCCAGGGTGGCCCCATGCACAGATGGGTGCCCACGGTTCAGCTGTAGGCTTGCTTTGGTGGGAGGTTTTCAAACAGGGTCTCATAATTCATAAAAACGGAATCTTTTTTTTTTTTTTGAGACAGGGGCTCACTATATAACCCAGGCTGACCTTGAACTCATGGCGATCCTCCTGCCTCAGCTGCTCAAGTGCTGGGATTACAGGCGTGCACCATCATACCCATTCATAATAGCTAAATCTTTTTTTCTAATGTATTTAGTACAGGGTCTACAGGGTCTTGCTACATCACACTCATAATGATCCTCCTGTTTTCAGCCTCCTAAGCACTGGGATTACAGGCGCGCACCTGAGTGTACCCTGGGGGCAGGGCCAGCATGGCAGGCTAGGGATCGAACCCCGGCCGCTGCGCTCTGCCTAAGCAGGTGCTTTAGTCCACTGAGCTATCTGGCTGGCCCGATAATAGCTGAATCTTGAAAGCAGCTTATGTGTCCACTAACGGATAAAGAAAATGTGTTCACGCACAATGGAATACAGCTCTGCCCTAAATTTGAGTCAGTTTTAAGAAAATGGATGCACCTTGATATAAGAGATAGAGACAATTTTAATTGATCTATGTTTATCACCTGCTCTAAGAAGCCCTTATGCACAGAATTAGCTGGGTCAGACAGTGGGCAGGGACACACAGGCTGGAAGAAGACTCACGCCGAAATAAGGTTCAGGGTAAGAAGTGACCTTGAGACAAGTTTTCCTGAATTATGGTTCTGAGAAGACAAAAGGCCATAAATAATGAGAAACAGGGATGCAGAGGAAGGAAGGGGCAGATAAGGAAGGAGGGTTGGGAAGTAATAGGTGTCTGCAGAGATAAACTGCTGGGGACACTGACCCTGATCCCAGGCCACAGGGGATACCTAAGGGGTAGTAACAAAAGCCCACAGCTAGCTGGGCATGTTGATACATACCTGTAATCCCAGAACTTGGAAGGCTGAGGCAGGAAAATCACCATGAGTTTGAGGCCAGCCTAGGCTACACACTTGTCTCAAAAAAAAAAAAAAAAAAAAAAAAAAAAATTCAGCTAGTATAGATTGTGCTGCTATAAAAATGGGTGTGCATGGATCCCAGTAATATGATGTCTTCAACTAGTTGGGAAAACATGAGCAGAACATCTGGGTCAAATGGAATTTCTTGTTTTAGGTCTTGGTTGGGTTTTTGCATCAGGGATCAAACTCAGGACCTTGTGCTTGCCAGGCAGGCCCTTATCCCTCTGAGCGATCTCCCCAGCCTACTGTTGCAGTTTTTAAGAACTCTCCATATTGAGTTCCACAGCAGTTGCACTACTAGTTCACATCCCCGCGAACCCTGTAGAAGGGGTCCTTTGCCCCGCAGCCTCGCCAGTGTGTGTTGTCTGATGTCTTGATGATAGCCATTCTTTCTGGTGCAAGATTGAATCTCCATATTGTTTTATGTTTGTTTTTGTTTTTACTGTTTTTTGAGACAAGGTCTTACTATGCAGTTCAGGCTCACCTTGAGTTCATTTGGTAGCTGTCTCAGTTACTTTTCACTCCTTGCTGGGACAAAACACCCGACAACCAAATTTAAGGTAGGAAGGGTTTATTTAGCTCACAGTTTGCGGAGGTTTCAGTCTATACTGAGCTGGCTCCCAGGCAGAGTGGCGCATGGCAGAGAGCAGCAGTTCATGGCCGGAGAAAAGAGCCAAGAGCAAAGAGAAAGGCAGCAGTTGTGGCTTCTTCTTCTTTTTTTTTTTTTTTTCAGGAACTGGGGATTGAACTCAGGCCCTTGCGCTTGCCAGGGAAGCGCTTATTCTACTGAGCCATCTCCCTGGCCCCAGTTGTGGCTTCTAGCCAGCCTCTCTTCTCTGGGGCTGGGAGCATAGAACTCACGCAATGTCCGTGGCCTCCTCTTGCACAGGATGAGGATATTTACAACTAAGAATCCTGGCTTTCTGCTGAACCTCTCAAGTTGACACAATATATCAACCAGTACAGTAGCCCAGACTGGTCTCCAACTCAGAAGGACTCTCCTGCCTCAGCTTCGCAAATGCTGGGATTACAGAAATGTGCCACCACACCCTGCTCCATGTTATTTTAATTTGCATTTCTCTAATGATGGTCAGCATTTTTTTTTTTCTTCCTTTTGGCACTGGGAATCAAACTCTGGGCCCTGTATGCT